TGCCCAGTAATGCATTTGGCCAGCTATGCAATAGTACACATGAGAAAATATTTTCTTCCTGACCCTTCTTGAGGTAGTAATCATTCTGTGCCCTGAAGCAAGATATTTCCTTTTACTTATATATTTTCTAATTTCTCCCTTACTCATCACTGAAAACCAGCTAGATTTTCTGAAATATCTAGCACCTTATTTTCCACTGAAATATTAAATTACCATGTAGTTAAGAACAGTTTTCCAGCACACTGAGGAATCAAGCTGATAGAGCTGTAGATGTCCCTGTTCACTGAAGGGAAGTTGGACCAGATGACCTTCAAAGGCTCTCTCAAACTCAAACAATTCTGTGAAACACAATACGGTTTTTTTTATAGCATTACAATGACTTGTAGAATGGAGATGTTTTTAGATATGCCAATTTGGCCATGAGGACCAGATGACAATATATAAGCATTTTCATTGAGATATAGGAAACCACAAAATATGGATTTCCAAGGTAATACACACACATCATCAGGAAAGGGTATTTGGATGTTCAGGAGCCAGTCCCAGTCATTGCTGATTATGCCACGGTCCTGATCAAAGGGCTGGAGCATCACTCTTAGGAAGAAAAGTGGAGTTGGGCTTGTTTAGAAGGCTCATGGGAGACCAGTACTTGAAGAGAGCATATAAGCAGGAGTGGAACCAAATTTTTACATGGTCTGGAAGAGATAGGACAGGGGGGGGAAGGCTTTAAACTAAAAAATGGGAAAATTAGGTTAGGCAGAAAATTACTCAGAAGGTGGTGATGGTAAGGCGCTGACACAGGCTGCCCAGAGAAGCTGTGCATTCCCCAACCCTAGAGGCGTCAGGGTCAGGTTGGTTGGAGCCCTGGGCAGCTTGTCAGGCGGGTGGTAAACCTGCCCATGGCAGGGGGTTTGGAAAACTCAGTGTTCTTTAAGGTCCCATCAGACCTAAGCCATTCTACAATTCTACAATTCTCTCCCATCTCACCTCTCCACACACATACTTGAAGATCCATACATTCCCAGTTCCTCTGTTGTCCTTAAAGATCTATTACAGATTTGGAAATGGCGCTGGCTTCTTGAAAAGAAGCAGCTAACAGACGGCATGAGAGGAGCCATGGGTCTCTGTTAGAGCTTAATTTTCAGCAGCAAGCTTTGGCTCTATCTCCAACCAGGAGCTACAGGCATAATCCCACAGAGCGGAGCTCAGCCCGGCAGCAGCACAGAGTCTTGGTGAGAGCCACGCGCAGCTCAGACGCTGCTCGCTCACATCGAAGCAGTGACCTGTCGAGAAGCAAAAGGCTGTTTGTTACAAAGCCTGTGTTTTGTGCCAATTATGAGGCAGTTACACTGAAAAAAACATCGCTTTGATGTGAATCTCTTCAGGTAGTGAATGTTAAACACCGCACGCTGCTGGGTAGGTGTATGATTTTGCAGGATCGGAGTCCGCATCCAGGAGTAATTAGCAAGACTGTGCCAATCTCCAGCCCGTGCACTGAACTGCTGGGTCCGATGCAACGGCTCCACAGTGGGGTATCGTAATTAGCAGAGATGCAACACAGTGAATAATTGGAAAGACCAGGAAATGCCAATGAAGTTTATATAAGGAAAAAAAATTTCCTTAGATCTAGACAATCTCTCGTCACCATGAAACTTCAGGCTCCTCTTTCGAGGGGGTGTGACGGAGCACCGCTGTTAAAAAGCAGCAATTTTCTCTTCGCTGGGACGAAGCTGAGGGGGGACTGAGCTCCTCCGCGGGGAGCAGAGCCGGAGGAGCCCAGCCGCACTCACAGCCCCGGGAGGCCGGGACAGACCCCGCCCCGCGCCCTGCCCGCAGGCCCCACCTCTGCTTTCGCTTTTCCTTTCGCTTCCGCCTGCCCGGAGCTCAGCGCTAAGGCAAGCCCCGCTGCCGGTTCCCTGCCCCTCGGGTCCCTCGGGCTTCGCACCCCTCCCCTCCGCCCCTCTCCCTCCCGCCTCGCACCTCAGGGCGCTGGAAGCGGTCCGGCCATTCGTGTGGCTGCACAGCCGTTTCCTCGCGGAAGGCACGGGGCGTCGTTTGCGATCGGCGGCGCCGATTTCCTCCACCTGCATGGGTGGGACCGCTCCGCTGGGGCAGCTTCTCCTGCTGCCTGTGGCCTGCACGCTTTCCGTCCTCACTGTGTCACAACTGCGTTTCATTTCCAGGAAGCGCTTGTTCTTTCCTAAGGCCTGTATGCTGTTGATACAGACAAAACAGAAGTTAAAAATTGAGATTCCATCCTTGGAAGATGGTAGAGTTTCTTTCAAGCCTATTTGCACGTATCAGCTTTCTTCCCAACACGCTTCTTTCCAGATCATGAAAAATTTTCCAGCAACTAATTGTAAGATCTTAAATCATAAAATGATTTTCACTTCTGTTCTTATGTGCCGTGTTCAGAGCGGTGTTAGACAAGAGACTTTTAGGCATTCACCACAGGGCACAACAGTGATGGCCAGGCATGTACTGCATCACCAGCAATCTATAGGTGCACTTAGTTGATGAAGGACCACACGGCATAACGAACTGGCAGTCCTACGTGTCCAGTTAGTGGTTTTGGTTAGGAAGTACTGAAATAACAGTGCTCACTGAGGGATGCTTACATTCTTGTACTTTTACTTGTAGATGTCAGGAGATCAGCATGCAGGCCGTTCCTCTGAAGAGAAAAGTAATGGAGACCAAGATGATATGGTCGATGCAAAACCAGACAGAAGTAGCAGACTCTCACTTTTTGCCAAGTAAGTTACTACTTTCATTTCCATTTTTCTTTTTGCCAGCTATGATACTGCCTTTCTAATGGGATTGCAGTGTTCAGTTTGCCATGCCCAAGTGCCAAAGAGTGTCTGCTAAGCAGCCTATGCTGTATAAAGTCTGACATATTTAATCTGTACCCTACTGCTGAACAGCCTTCACACTGCTCTGATTTACAGAGACCTGTAATATCTCCCATCAGCTTACTTGGTAGTCGAGGGACCACTAAGTTCATTTCGCATCAGATGTAGCCCCTCATCTTAAACATTGCCCTTTTGTGGAGCTGGGAATTAAATATGCCATTAATTATCTATTTTGCTGCATTCAGCTCTGCTAATCTCCTACATCATTGGAACCCCCTGCTGACTATTTAAGTTAGTTTAAAGCCTGGATGTGCCATCTAGACTGTAGCACAAAGAAGCCTCACCGAGTCTAGAGATGTAACCTATTACAGAATAAATTAAAAGCCTTTCATTTTAGCCCAGTAGACTCACCGAAGCATAATTTTACTTTCATTAAATGTACAGGCAGCAAGAATTATCTACTGTTTTACAGACAAGGAGCACATAAATGTAACCAAAAATGCAAAAGCTAAAAAAAAAAAAAAAAAACCCAATGTGCAAAATTAACAAATGCTGTTGAATATCAGGAAATACTAATTAATGTGGTAAACATATTGTATTTATTACAGGAGTTTATTACAAATACTTGTATTTACAGAGGCTTAATTTTTTATTGTTCTTGGACATATCCACATTCAAGTGAACAATATAATTCAAAGTACGTAAGGAATGTCATTTTATTTTTGTAGCATATTATATGAACACGATGGGTGTAACAAATCTGAGAGAGATGTGAGAGAAGTGAAGTTGCTTTCTTCTTAGATGACTTTTGATGTGCTGTTAAGCAAATCACTGAAGTTTTCTCTCATTTTCTCATTTCTCAAATGCATTTTAAGATGTATACACATTAATTTCCACAAATGCACATTATACCAAATAGACAATTTAATGTTTGTTCCTAAAACTTCAAGTATTTTCCCAAGTTTTCTTTTAAAATTTCTAAAATGCGTGTTTTAAAGTATGACATCTTCTTTAGAAGAAGCGATATGCTAATATTGTTACTCAATTATGCAACTCAAAGTTAATCATTCCCAAAGGAAAAGCAAGAATCAACACTTCTATCACTTTTCTTTTTCATAAGAAATTTTCCAAGTAATTTGGCTATTCATCAGCTTGAGACATTCATCTTTTGGGAAATCCTTGAAGATACAAATTTGAAACATCTTTTGCTAGAAGTAGAAAGGAACTCAGATAAAATAAGTGCCGAAGAAAAAATATGAGAAGTCTGAGGTGATTCAGTATAGATTTTGTAGTAAAAAATTGAGTCTGGAATTATCTATCAGTGCTGCTTGGCTAAAGCAATGTTGGCCTGAAGAGGAATGAGCTGTTCTACGGAGAGGGTCTTAAAAATCCAAGTGCTCTGATAAGGTCATTATCTTATAGATATTCTCTGGCCTGCAGGAACACAGAAAAGGAATGTGAGAGGATAAAGGAAGATGGTTTAATGACCAAAAGAGCAGCAGTCACAAAGGAGAAAGTGAATAGAGAATGATTGATTGCTCATTGGCCTCACAAAAAAAATAAGAGACATCCAATGAAAAGTTTATAGAATAAGATTAAAACAATCACTAAGATATATTTTTTTCCATGGTACAGAGCAGAGTCATAAAATTTAAGCCACAAGATACTCATCTAGATTCTTCTGAACTCATCTGAAATAGCAGCGTATGCATGTGTGGAAGAAAAATCTAGTGGAAATATTAATGTTAAAATCTTTGATATGAGATGCCCCTAAATCAGATTTCTGCAAGAATATATTCTGGACCAAATTTCTTTAGTTTGTTCTCTTAAAACTCATTACTGGTCAGTAACAGATACTGGGCTCAGTTTGCTTTTAATTGGATCCTGACCAGCTGTGATTTGATGGCCAAGGCTCCTTTTTGGCAATGTAAACTTAATAGTCGTTTAATAAAAAAAAAGTGTCTAGAAAGCTTTAGATTGACTTTTTTTTTTTTGTTTTGCTGATCCAATTTCTACCACCGGTGCAGTACTTTCATGGAGAGTGGCTCTGGGCAGCCTGTTTTGGTGGTTGGACACCCTGCACATAGCAGGGGGGTTGAAACCAGATGATCATTCTGGTCCTTTTCAACCCAGGCCATTTTATGATTCTATGGAAGTCAGCATACAGTTTCACTTATATAAAAAAAAAAATCAAAACGTATTTAAATGTAAGCTTAAAAAAAGATAAGCTCAATGGGAAAACAAGTATTTTCTACTGTTAAACAAGCTCGTGAATTGTAACGAGAAAGAAAACAGAACAGCAAGAAACTAAAAATCAGAGCTATGCAGACAGAGCAACTACTTCCAGTACCTTCACAGATATCTGTCTCTGGACAGAAATGTAGATAGCCATCGCAGTAAACAGAGATAGGTGAGAATCTTCAACATTTCTCTAATAAGACCACGACCGTGGCTCACCAAGCAGGAAGCAGAGCTCAGAGCAAGCCACAGACAGGACAGACTCTTCTGTGTGCACCACAGTTTGGGGGAATTCTCTTCTACGTATTTCCTTTTCTTGGAAAGAGTGCTACAACTTCAATAACGGCAGAAAAGTGTTTGGGATCGTTAGGCGGTTGTTGGTATTTGTAGCCACTAGATGGCAGAAAGGCTTTACTTTTGTTTACTACAAAATTTGCAGAAGACTAACTTTATGAGACCCGCAATTGACCAAAAAAAACTACGTTTCAGAAGGCAGACACAGCAAGATGCACTACGGCAACCTTGAGCAAAACAAGATTTTAAAAGACACGATAGCAAATACTGAGTTGGGAATTGAGACACGTTTTTAATTTTTTTTAATGATAATTAAAAGCAAACAGAACTTTTCCCATATAAACTTTTCTGTGCTGTGTGTGCTCACATCACCATCTTTGAGACCTTAGAAATAACCTCGCTTCTCCAAAAGATTATTTAGTTTCTTTACTTGGAATCTTCAGCTAGAGAACTCTGTTAGGAGGATTGAGGAAACATAGCAGCCAAACCTATTTGAGCATCCAGGTAGCATAATTTAGCATGGAATAGAATTCAGCTCCCATTGTTAACTAGAGCTAGAATTTCTCTTACTCCTAATGTGTTTTGTCATTTGTTTGTTTAAAGCTGCATCTAAAAATTCCCAAGGTTTGGTAGACCAGCACTTACACGTCCAATAATCAGGACTGTGAACTTCAGTGAAGAAGTATAATGCAGAAGAAGGTAGTTGTTAGTAGTGTACAGATACCAGTTTTATACTCGTTAATTTTGTAGAACCCTTTGTCCTTTGGTTACTTTTATTCACTGCAGCCCTGCTGTCTGATGTACAGTCAAAATATCCCTTATTTGGAAAGGGAAGATGTTGTTTAAGTATATATTTAAGAGTTACAAATGCCTATTTACCACTGAAACTGTGTGATTCAGTAGTATCTTTAGAGTAAAAAAGGTGAAATGTATTGTAACAAGATCTCCATGAGTCTGGTGGGGTACACCCATGTGTGCTCACTAAGAGTCCTTCAGCTGTTTAAAACAGTAAAAGTTATTTATTTCTACTAAATCAGGCCACCATAAAGTTTGGGACTACATTCTAATTAATTTGGAAGCTTTCTATAAACATCAGTGCATATCTTACTGCAACAGTTCAAGAGTTATGATGCCTACCAATAAAACAGCCAAAGTTTGTAAACCCATGTAACAATCAGAAAGAGCAATACAGTGGAATGGTGATACAGGAAGTGTAACAGCAAAGGCACTAGTGCCACAGAAAGGCATTACAGAGGAAAAGAAGTGCTCACCCATCTCTGAAGATCCAGGCTTACAGGAAAAAAACTCTACAAGAGAAGGCTCTCCAACCAGAGATCCCACCCCAGCAGTAGTCAGCCCTTAAATGAGGTCTAAGAGAAGTGCAGCCAGGCTTCACCCCTCTGGTCATGCAGCTGAATTGCCTTCACCTGTGCTCCCAGGGCTGACTCTGTCCTTTCCACAGGTGATCAATCAGTGGTTCAAGCCCTGACTCAACAGTTACCGTACAACTAGTATTTAGATTCGAAAGATACATAGGAATGTTGTCTTGTTTGTTTTTCATTCATATGGCGTTAATTTAGGCTACAGGACACAAAAATAAGGAAGTGCAATGTTACTTAAGCTGTTTTAACTTCATGAGCTCTATCTCAGTATAGTCACATTTCTCAACATAAATAATCTTGTCCTTCAAAGAATAAATACTCATTTTTGAGATTCAACTTCAGCTGAACCTCAGCTATGGAGCTCCAAAGGAGTGGAAAATTGTCTTTGTTTCAGTCTTGCTTTTTTGTTGTTCCTCCATTTTTTTCAGGAGGTGTTTTGTACCCAGTTTTGATTATCAACAGTTTCTTTATATTCGGTTCATAGGAAGTTTTGCAGTTAGTACTTGACAAAGAACAGTTTCACATAGTTTATATTTTTTCCATCTCAAAGCTGTGTATCTTTTCCAGAGTTGTCCATTTTATATTTTTGGGCCTATTGGAAACAATGGACTTGAATTAACTGCTTAGAAAAATTACTGCTAACATCATATGTTTAAGAAGTAACTGTATTTGCTTCTACACCAGCTGTTCCTGCCTTGAAATTAATATGTTCACATTCAGATGATGCTTTGGGTGATATTTCCTCTTTTCAACATAACTTTTTACACTTTTAAATTCTAAAATGCAGTTCTGTTATAGGTTTTCCAGCCACAGAATATTAGAAACCTTTCAAAAACAAATACTGCTTATCTCTTTTATCCTTACATTGTGTATAATAGGTAAGTTACTTACTGAGTAACAGCCGAACAATCATCCGAATTTATGCTCTGAGCTGAAACCGAACTGAGCTCCTGCTTCAGCCACAGGTTTCCTTTCTATCTCTAAGCAAATCACTGAAGGCATTTTTTAATCCTATAAGTGAGTGATGATCTTTCCTTTTACTGTCCTCACTCTGAAGTTCAGTGCAATTTCATTTTAATTTGTTTGGGGTTCTGCTTTTCCCAAGCTAAATACCAACATATGTCCTCCAAAGTGATGAACATACAGTTTCAGAAGTAATGGGTTCTAGCAACTCTTGTCTGCTAATGTTAATTCCTACACATACAGTGAAAGAGCTTTTAACAGACGTGATACAACAGAGGTGTTCCTTTTCGTTACTCATTCTTGAGCTGGAGGCTCATTTTCAGTTTTGTTATGATCATTTTTGTTAGATCTAGCTCTCAATTTCTACCGAACACCACAGGCATACAAACAGTTACAATGCTGCACAGGCATAGCAAACAGTTATAATGCTGCACAGTGCTTGTACTTTCCCTTGGACGCTTACTGAATGTACCATGTAGGAAATGCCCAATATCTTGAAATAGCACCTAAAGTACAAGAAGTAACTAATTCAGTTAGCATTCGCTTCCAGTCTTCTTGGAGACTTCCTCAGGTGAAGCACAGCAAACACTGGATTGTTCCTGAACTGTATCTGGAGCAATCACAACAGTGATCAAGTAGCCTAATTCCTTTTTATTGCAGTAATTTATTTCCTTCGTTGTAATGAACTCTGTGCTGTCAGCACTCAAAATGTGGAGGAAAGCTATAATACGTTTTAATATTTAACCTTTTAAAGGAACCACAATAAATTAAGCTGTATTTTTGAATAATCCAAAACTGCATAAGAGTAAATAAGTGGGAAATAGTTCTGTGAATTAGAATACAAAAGAGGTCTTGTAAACTATCTATGTTGATGTTCATCATTTTCTTAGAAGCATTCATTGTGCAAATATTGTACTGATGGTTGGTTCCGGTTCTGCAAGAAGGTGTGGAGTTGTATTAAAAAGTAAAGCTTGCTCTGTCACCTCCATCTCAAGATCTGCTCTATTTTCCTACTCTTATCTAGGAACAGTGACAGGATCAGAGTGTGTTTTCCACTTGTCAGCAAAGGTGGATCAGGCCTGCATGACCTCTGTTTGCAGGACGATAGCTGTGAGGGTTTGAATAGCCCCATAGAAAAGTCCAGTGTGACCCACTGCTGACACATGCAGATCTTTGGGCCTGAGCACAGGGCATCCTTTTTCATGCTCCAATCTAGCTCCGAGCATGGTGGGCTCCTAGCATTACCAAGAGGATTAGACTTGCTCTTGAGCACAAGTTGAAGTCAGATGCAGTGTGGAGTGCCATTTGATGATGAGCCAAGGTACTGTGGAAAGTTATTTACCTCCTTCCTTCCCTGCCACCTGTTTGAGAACCTCGTGAATGAGCACCCTAAGGGAGTTTAGTTGCAAATTATAATTCTTCTGGCATTTTGCAATTGGTAATCCTAGATAGAATGTTCTCCTAGATATGTTATTCGGGGGTTTTGCTTTGTTTTGAGTCATCTTCCAAGTAGCCTGTGTAAAAATATATATACCTGCTAACTGTTCATAGTACCTATGACAGATAAAAGAGGCTTTTTATTTTTCTTTTACTGCATACTTGAAAGTTGCCTGTGTACATTATTTAGGATATGATCATGCAACATTTCAGTTTCCAGAACACCCTTGGAAGGTGTATGTGCTCAGGTTTTCCAGAGATGAGCAGAAAGCCTTTCAGCAAGCAACATTGTTTTTGGAAAAATTCTACCTTTTGAATGGTATTTGAATATTATTCCTCCATACCATGCAGGAAATTAATCAGGAAGCTGAATTACAAATTGATCATTAAGAATCTGGAATTTACTCAGTTTTGGTCAACTGCAGGTGTCATACCACAGAATTGTCATGCAGGCTGTCAATCATCCACACAGTTTTAGGTGCCCAAAGATAAGGATGACAGTACCTCATTCTTTTTTTCCTTCTTTTTTCAACTGTTGAGAAATGTGGGCAGTATTAGACATAATAAACTGTGCTGAAACATTTTCAGGAAGTGGAACTGGCTTAGCACCAGCGTGCTCCATCTTGTTCATGTATATGTAATGAATAAAATTGCAGCTCTGATTTTGATTTCGTTATATTAAGGCCATCAGTCACAGAATTAGAAGGATGGTGGGATATTTGGCACTAAGGGACATGATTTACTTCTGGGACTCAGTAGGTCAGATTGATGGTTGGCCTTGATGACCTTGAAGGACTTTTCCAACCTAGTTGATTCTATGACTCTATGATAAGTTTAGATACATTTTAGAAATCCAAGAATACCTGTAGTGTACAAAGGATGCCACAAGTTCTAGCCTGAAGCTTCTTCTTTCAAACAGCTCAACTCCTTTTCTTCACATTTAGTTTCTAGATGTTCTGAACTGGGTTTCTCTGTCTTCCAAGTTCCTAGAAAGATTTCCCCTTTTCTTAATTGGAGAAGAACCTGAAACTAAAATGGCACCAAAAAGCTACTAGGTTAGTTCCGGTTTTGAAAAATATCTGAGAGATTTAAAATGTATTTTATTTCATTTTTCTAAAGTTGAAAGGTAATTTCCTTGAAACAAAGGTAAAATATATGGAATACAACAGTAGGAGCTGGGAGGCACTGTCTGTAAGCAAAGAATTCATAAGTACATCCAACAGAGTGAACATTTACAGTAAGTAAAATCAGTTCAGCAGATCCCTCAAAGTGAGGCCAGCGTTTGAAACACTGCAACGTTGCAACATTTTATTTAGGCACATAAGATCTTTGAAAAAAGAGTTTTAAATCTAAGAGACGTTCTGCAGATTAACCAGAAGCTGCAGGTTTGTAGAAACTTCTGAACGAGATTTTCTGGTTTGTTTTGCAAGTGATCAAACGAGAAGCGTGCTCGCACACAGGTGAGTCAGCTACTGCAGTGAGCACGCTGGTCACAGGTTGATTTTTGCTCGCCTCTGCAACTGTTGCCCTTGTGAAGCTTTGTGGTAGGTGAGGCCCTGCTGTGGATGAAGCGAATAGACTTTAGATTGCGGTTTACGGGATGTGGAACACAGTCTTTCCTGTATTTCAGGGGAGTAATTGCAACCACATAAGCCATGTTAGATTCACTGTTAAGGTCCTGGGAGACTTTGGGGCTGTACTTTGAGGACTGCCATACACTATGAACTGCAATCGTGTATTTTGCAGTTGACGTGAAACTCTTAATGCCTACATGTAATTATTCAGGGAAGCTAATGATCAGTATTTGCTTCTGGACTGAAATCCTCTGTATACCTCCATCGTGCACAGTAGGAATGCATTTGTTCCGAGCACTGTTTTCCACCAGGGACATGCCAGTACACTGCTTCACCTACTCTGGGTAAATTTGCAAGACCGTGCAAATATGTGGCTGCTAAATATAGAATCACAGAATCATGGAATGGTTTGGGTTGGAAGGGAGCTTTAAGATCACGAATTTCCAACCCCCCCTGCTGTAGGCAGGGACACCTCCCACTAGACCAGGTTGCTCACAGACCCATCCAGCCTGGCCTTCAATGGTTCCAGGGAATGGGCATTCACAACTTCCCTGGGCAGCCTGTTCCAGTGTCTCACCATCCTCACAGGAAAGAATCTCTGCCCAGTATCTACTCTAAACCTACCCTCTACCAGTTTAAAACCATTTCCCCTTGTTCTGTCGCTATACATCTTAGTAAATGTTGCTTATGGCTCCTGTTCTGCTGTTGGAAGTGATATAACATGCTACAAGAAACTTAGAAAATGCCAGGGGTTCGATTTAAAAAATGGAAACATTTTGTGGACTTTTTGCAAAATCTGTAACAGCACTGCTACGTATTTTGTAGTAGGAACCAAAGTAAGACTTTTGATATGACTGAAGGTATGAACCCAGACTCACCATGGGCAAACTTGTCAATGAAAGCTTAGTTTGTTCCCAGCCCTATTAGTATCTCCGTAAGTCCAAGCAAATAATTCCATTGTTGACTCAACTCGTTTCTTTCAAGGAAAGAAATATTGCTACAACAATCTTGATTGCGTATTTATAGTTAGAAGGAGGATGTGGGGCAGGTTTTTTTGGTAAGAAACAAGAGATACTTTCTCTGTTAATTCCTCATATCAGATTCATTCAAAAAAAAAAATCTTTTCCTCCAGTGATTTTAAATGATCTTTGTTCAGTCAGCTGGCAGTCTTACTGAAAAGACATCCTCAAGAAGTCATGAACTAATTACCAGCTTCAAATAAAGATGGAAGCTAAATATTTAGTATGGCTCTGATCTTGAGAAGGGTTACGAGCAGGCTTTCTTTTACTGTCTGACTAGTCCTATTGCTTTCAGTTTGCATAAGCATGCTGGGCCATTTCCTGTCATTTTACCACTTCCTAAAAATGACTGTTCTGGCTTAGGAACTTTGGCAGAGTGTATATGAAGAAGAAAGCACGGATCAGACTTCATGTATCATTGATAAATATGAGCGTTAGACTCCAGTACTATCTATTTGATCAGTTTCACCATAATTTAAAATTTCTTTAAGGCAGGAAACAAGGCTATTAGAGGCACTAGGAGCCTAGGACTTTTTTGTGTTTAAAAGTTGCTTTTCTGTATTGTGTTGTTTAGATTTGCTATTGTTTTTGAAATTGTTAGGTAGGTTTTCATTCATTTTGTGTAGTCTCCTTGCTATAGTAAACAATATAGGTGAAATGATGGATATCATTCAGATGCTTTTAGGTGAACTTCTACTTTTTAGGTGCTATGTGTCTGAAAAATAGATGGAAATCACATATGCTACTGTAGTACTCAGGAGAAAAAGTCTGAGAGCCTACAGTGTGTGGCAGGCAGATTGGAAACAGAATGGAGATCTGTCAAAAGCCAGTGTCACCAGCTGTGGCTCCTATTAGTATTTAAAGTGGATTTCACTTTGCATTCCAGCGTGTAGCATTGTTAGCATATGACCCAGAATCACATAATCAGGCACAGTACAATAAATACGGTTTTAGTACTTGGACTAGCATTTATGGCTAATGCTTAGTCTTTGTCCCATATAATTTATGCTTTTTGGTTATTAACAGTAAAAGAATAATCATTTTATAAGAGATGCTTCAAATGGAGACACAATCATCTTGTCCAGAAATGTTGCAGTTCTGCCAACTTGATGCAATAACAATGGGAAAAGTCAGCAGGATAATCTATTATTTGCATGCAGCTCTAAATCTACTTGACATTTTACCTAAACAAATCTGACAAAGAAGAAGGAGTCTGCCTTGAAGAACTTAAGATCTAAAAAGCTCTGGTCAGGTTTAACAAGTGTCTTGTGCTTGTTATTACCAATAGATTTCAAGAGAAAAATAAATTCAAAGAGGGGAGTGTGTACAGTAATTAGAGGTGTACTAAGTATGGTGAAATTAGACTGGATGAAAGTATTAAAGCTGCACAGAAGTGTTAAAGCTGACAGTTTGGAGAGAAGGTTGTATAGGAGCAAGGCAAACCCACTTACATTCATCAGAAAGCAAGAGACATGAGTAGACCACTGATTATTGAGACTAGAGTAAAGACAAACGAATTAAATGCAGAACTTTGATTTGTCTAATTCATGCATTCTGTTTCTTGGTAACTTCCTCAGAAGGTAAAAATGATGAGGGGGCATGTAAGTGGTTAGCAGTAGAATAAAGAGCACTGAAGTTTTATATCTTCTGTCCCACAACATGCAGTGCATGAAAGTTCTGTAGGTATTTGATGGGTTACCTGAGAAGATCGGTACTGTGGACTTCATCAGTCTGCCACTGCCATAATCTTCTTGCCTGGACTTAAAGGCTGACTACCCTATAATAACAAGAATCAAGCTCTTCTCCAATGCCAAAAGGTCTGGGGATTTCAGAAGCAATCCTGAGACAATGCGTTCTGTAAAAGACAGCATGTTTTATAAGACAAATTTTCTTTTTATAGAAACCTGTTAACGAGGTATTAAAAAGCAATATACAACTACCCATCACACTAATGGAGAATGTAAAGGAACTACAGGGAAAACAAACAGGAACCTCCTCCTATCCTATGAGAAGGAAGTGATTATCTTGAAATTTGTTTTATCCTTCTAATCCTCTGTCTGTTTGCCTATTTAAGTGACTGTTCTTTTCTGAAGAGCCTTGTTTCTGCCCTGGGTGTTTCTAGGTGTCACTGAATTGCCTGCTTTTAAGGCAGAGACACTCACATTTCCAGGAAAAAAACAGTTGTCTGTCAGTTTCTATCAGTCTCTTTTTAAATTACTTTTAATTTTCAGGTTCAGTAAATGGGTTGGTGTAATAGTTTCTACCCTAGATATTGCCTTTTTTCATGTCTTCCTTTAATCCACTCCTCTCTCTTGAGACTTTTACCTGAGTCATGCTGCTACTGTTCCAAGGGGAGTCCATATATTACAGCAGACAGGCATTTTAAAAAATGTTTTATGTTTACTGGCTTTTAAACCTTGCACAAAGATGGACTTCATGGTTGGCATTAATTATGGAATGGAATGGGAGCAGAAGACCTCCACAGAAATATTGTGCTTTGCTTGAAGTTAATTAGAAGTTAAGACATGACGAGAGACTGGAAGCTCTCCTGTTAAAGGATGCTATGTCATAATTCTCCGTGGTAGCAAAGATAGTGCAGAGTGATGCTAGAAGAAGGGAAGCCAAAGGAGAGGAAATTGGGTCTGCTCAGAGACACTGTTTTCAACAGAACTGTAAAGATTTCATTTTCTTGAAAATAATCTTTACGTATAGTTAACAGGGGTGCTTTTATCCTTAAATTCTGATACCTTTACATATGGAAATCATGATTTACCAAAGCATAACAGAAAAAAAGTTTGGTGTGATAACTGTCATTTCTTTAGGCAGTCAAGATCTGAGTTCCTACGGGCGCAAATGAAGGTTTCTCCATTAACACTGACAGGATTTCAGTCAGTCATAATGATGAGAAATTTGGCCTTTGCTATTTAAAAGTTCAGTAACACAATGATAAATGCTATGGGAAACTTTCGTTTTGTATTTGAAATGTGAGAAGTTGATAATGATGTTTTTCCCAGGGTTGACGCTGAGTGTAGATTTGATGAAGTCACATTCCTAGGCATGCCGCTGTCAGGCCTAAGCCCTAGATTTAGAAACACTGTAAGAATAACTAGGAAAATGTGCAAGTTACTTGAGGGTGCCAGAGTGGACTTTTGATTTTTCTGAACTCTCAGCTGAAAGAAGAGAACGTGAAATATGTGAGAGCAGTGATAGAAGAATGTTTCTGTCTGAGGGAAAAGATCAGAGTAGTGGAGTGAGGAATTGAGGCACGGCTGTAGTCAAAAACTAAAAGCAGAGGAAACAGTTGTAAAATTCAAGTTTCTGTTTAGTCTGGGCAAGTTTGAATCCAGAAAGAGGGAAATTAAAGACGTTGGATATCAGAGAAGCAGAAAGAAATAAAACTAAGAGCAGATAGTTGACAACAGTTTATAAAAGCACATAATTAACCCGTGGAAATGCTCTCAGAAAATACTGTGATTAGAAAGCTTAGAGAACAACAGTGGTAAACATTTATGTTAATGTGTCCAGTTCAAAGCGTAGAAAATCAAAATTTGTCTAGAAAGCTTTATGCTTTCAGTCATAAGACAGCCTGTCACTGACAAGGAATTTCCCTTTAGGACTGATTAGTACATATTTATAACATTATTAGTCATTATTACAAGGTATGATTTAACTTGTTTAAACTGAAGAGTGGAACCTTAAACAATCAGCTTAAGCCACTCAGGCAATTCCCAAATTGCCCTATTTTGGCGTAGCAAACAGAATAATAAAAAAAAAAAACAACAAAAAAAAGAATTCTCCTTGGATTGCAGTGTGGGATAAGTGTACAGCACAACCTTTGCTTTCTTATTCATTCAATTTGGACAGATACCAAAAGATTTCTGGAACTATTTTGTTGTCTGCCAGTAAAGGAACGACAGGCGTAACCCCACAAGATACGCTGTGGTTGCTTATGATCTGATTATCCTGTTAAGCTTGGAAGCAATCATTAGAACAAAAGCATAGTATCCTTTGTGAAGGAATGGGGAAATTAAACGATGGATTCATGCGGACTGTTACACTGGCAAGGCTTGTCTGTGACCTTTGATGTTGAACAGCATAGAGCTTCTGGCATGCTTTTGGGAATACCAGCAGTAGCTCTATCTCTTAAAGTCCTGAGAATTTCTGCATGAATGAGTGCAAACTATTGAACTCGGAAGTTAAGTGGTTTCAGAGAAGTTGTGTGGCTGCTTTACTGTGCCACTTAACCCCAGCTGCTATTTTCAGAGCAGTTCTTTGTTGGGTAATGTGACCGCATGACTTCTTGTCTCAAATTAGATCGTTTCTAGCATTCTGGAGTGGACAGTGTAAATATGATATTGCACCACGTAGGTAGATCTATTCCAACTGTTCAAAACTGTTCATGGATTGAACATCAACAGAAATTTGTGTAGAATACCCCTGAAAATATCTTAGTATATGTAACAGCCACTGCTAGTCGTACAGCATATTCAGGAAGTCAGTGAAGCTGGATAAATTTGTATAAACTTGAATAGGGCATGGGCTGAGGAAATTAGTCTCTTCATTGGCCTGAGTGCTTTCTTCTTGTTTTGAATTTTCTTCTTCTCTTTTCTTTTTTCCAAAGAGTTGTCTTGTGATGTTGGACTAGGGGGAATTTTAGGCTAAAATAAGAATCCACGATCTCTTTGAAACCCAAATGTAACATTAACATCATGCAGCTGTGGATAATTCTTTAAAATGGTTAAAATCTTTTCTTGAGGCTAAGCATATTTAATTATTGCTCTCAGAGCCCTCAAGAAGCAGTATGTAGGGAGAATACCAATATTTGGGTTTGACAGAATAAAACCCTGTACTTTAAGAGTATCAAAGACAATCCTCAAGTAGGTACAATTCAAAATCTTGTTTCACAGTTTCTAAAATAATTCTAAGAGAGGAGATGACAGTCAGATGATGGGTAAAAAAAGAGCATAGAGAAAGCCTGCAAGATGCAACTATTTAATGTGGTCACTTATAACAGAGCATGAGGACACTCAAAGATAAGAAGAAACTGTTTTAAAATTGAATTGCCATGGCATTTGAACATAATGAATCATCTGGAGATGCTTTATTATGGTTTCCAGTTAGTCTTGCCCTTAAGTAATAAAAAATAGGACACTTGGAGACTCCAACAATTGCTAGAGACAACAATTGTTAAATCAGGAAGATAAGAAAGTACATTTCCTAAACATTTAATCAATCCACAGCAATCTCATCTCTGAAGACTATTAGTGAAGCAAATAGCTTGGGTAATTTTCTGGAAATATGTCAAAGTGAGAATACTGAAAGTACTTAATTGACATCATGGGACAAATCTAATTTTGTTTAAAAGAAATGGTATAGTACAGTTGGTTGTGCTGACAAAATAGGTTTGTTTTCCGCTCAGACTGCAGCAATAAGTACTACTGGAAGCAAGATGCTGATACCTTCTTCTGCCCTTTCCCAAGTATTGTCTCTAAGCAGGCCTGCTCCAAAGCTTGCTTATATTTCTAATGTTTCATCAGAGCCTTTGAAGGCTTTCCCTGGCTTCAGTTCTGCTTGTGGAGATCACATCAACATCAGAAGTCACTTGGCTGGACAAAAATGTCCACCTCAAAAAGCAAGCATTACTGAGTTCCTCATGCTTGTATTTCAGGTGTGCGTGCAGGTTGTCATGGATTCATTCTATAATATTTAATTTAGAATAAATTGGTGGGTAGAGTCCATGCTGTCTCTCAGCATCTTTTTCTAATTCAGTCTAAGACTCTGTCGTATATCAGAAAGATCAGTGTACAGTTATGTTAGTGGAGAATGTTTACAGTATAAATCATATGTCTTCTCATCATCCTTGGAATAGTTATTAAGGAAGATCTGTCTGGGTTTACATGAATCACTTATAGTAAAATTAAAATAGTTCTTACATCCAGAACCGTAGTTTGCAAAAGACTGCTGCCAGCCTGGTATTTGGTCAAGATCTGCATGTCTGCAATTCACTCAGGGGTGATTTTACCATCATCTGTATCCAAATACTGAATGGAAATCATGAGACTCAAGCAATGAGTTAATATCTCTACATCTCTGTGTGAAATATGAAGGAAGAGAAACATAAGAGAAATAAAAACATCAGGTAGTGCTGCCCCAGTGGCATGAGTTAAGATAAATAAGCACCTTGCTTGTGACTGGTCATTAACAGTTTTTTCATTTGATTCACACAGGAAAAAGAAGAATGGAGAAGAAGAACAGCCAAAGTCCTCTCTCAGTAACCAGTACCGAATTGTTACACCTACATTCCAGTATAATATGAACTACAAGAAAGTTGGCAAATGTGTAATTATAAACAACAAAAACTTTGAAGACAAAACAGGTAACATTCTTTGTCCTGCTTGAGAAGGGAGGACGAACCACATGACCTTCAGAGGTCCTTTCCAACCTAAGCCATTTTTGATTCTGTGATTCGATGACACTTATTACAGGTTTTAGAATTTTCATATTTTCATTAATCAATAAACCTTTATTTTTAGGGCATGGAATTTTAATGACCATATTCACTTTAAGTAGCTGTTCATACTATTTGTTCCTGTTCTTTAGAGTAGTTCTTTGTGGCTCCTTTGCAGTAGGTGGTTCAAAAAGCACGTCAGCTTGTTCTGCCAACTTCCAGCTAAACTTCTGTCCTAGAATTTAAGGCTGTACTGTTAAAACCTGAACTTTGGTATCTGCGGCCCATGTCATCACTTCTCTGTCTCTGAGCTGCTCCTAATAGCTATAGCTGCACTACAAAAGCTAATAGCCATAGCTGTGCTCTGTTCACAATCTGGTGTCAGCTGCACTTTCCAGATTGCGTGCAGTTTTGAAACAGATATTTGTGAAACAGCCAACTTTGTAGGCTTTTTTTTTCTCTACAAGTTAGGCAAACAAATTAAATGAAGTGCTTATTCCAAAGAATTTACGTCAATTTCCTTTAAGGGGTATCATGGGGAATCTTTTTTAACTATTGAAGAGCTTTGTGCATATGTTACTCTGCATAACCAATAGGAGATAGAATTCTCCACAGAGGTCCCATGTTGCAAGATGCTGGAGATAAACCAGCATTTTTCAGCATAAAATACATGTTCACATTGGACCTTGCATTATTTTGCATTGAAACAAGACTCATAGTTTGTTCTGAATGCCAAGGATGTTGTTAGAGGATTGTTTTAAATTCATGTCACCATGACATTGTTTATAAATTAAGAACATAAAGTTGCTTTTGGACATACAAATTATTTTAAATTGTGTAATGTGCAATCAACTGTACTATTTCTTTTCTGGTAGGAATGGGTACACGCAATGGCACTGACAAAGATGCTGGAGATCTCTCTAAGAGTTTCAGAAGCTTAGGTTTTGATGTTCACACATACAATGACCGAAGCTGTGAGGATATGAAAACACTACTGAAACAAGGTAAAAATTTAGAATTATAGAGTAATTTATTGTGTAAGGGACCTCTGGAGGTCACCTAAGTAATGCTCTGCACAGAGCAGGACAGATTAGAGCAGAGTGCTTAGGCCCCACGAAGTGGAATTTTCTCTACAGAAAGATTTGATTTCTGAACAGATTAGCCTTAATTCTCCAGCTCCTCCTCCTCCAGTGTAAATTCAGAAATGCATAGTTTTGTTGTCATAGTAGATGACAAATCTACTAAAATAATTCCATATAGTTAAGAGTTCAGCCTGTTGAATCAAGTGGGCTGAACTCTATGTTCATTTATTCAAGTTATTCATCACATTCTTAAAAATTGGGCTGTGTTATCTTTACCTTCTCCTTTTTATGACTTCCAGTAGAGGCCCAATCTTCATTTAGTCTCAGAAAGATGTGTTTGATAAATATAATTTGTCATTTAAAACGTTGCCTCCTTTTGGCTAACAAGTATTTGATTTGTAGCTGCTGAAGAGAATCACAGTGATGCTGCTTGTTTTGCCTGTATCCTTCTAAGCCATGGGGAAGAAGGTCTCATTTATGGCACTGATGGACCCATGGCTATCAAACACCTGACTGCACTCTTCAGAGGAGACAAATGTAAAAGCCTGATAGGCAAACCCAAATTGTTTTTCATTCAGGTAAATATTATATCCTGCTGCAGTGGGGAAAACCTATTATGTCATTTGTCTTGTCGTGAAATGCTCTGAAAGTTATCTTGCTGAATTTGGTAGAGGTCTTGAGGAAAAAAACAGTGTGGAGAGAAGTTAAATACAGGTGACTTTTATCTTGTTTGCTTTGAAAAAGTGATTTACATGCAGGATTCTTAGATGTAAAGAACATATCAAAATATTCCTCATCCACTTTTTTGCACATGGATTCCTTTTGTGATGGGTAATACATGAACTTCAGACCATAGAGATAACCTCCATCTTGTGCAGACAGTGCTGAGAACAGTATGTGATTATCAATAGAAATGGTTCTGTCCAAGTATGTTTGGATAAAGGCTGCATCTCCAAATTACTGCATTCTGCTAAATTCTTCAGTCTCCCTGAGTAGCCTTGTTTTCTACTTTCTTGCCTCTTATACATACAAAGTACTGCCAAAAACTACATTCATTTAAAAATGTTTTAAAAAAAACTATATTATAAAATACCTCATTTCTCCTTACTGGTCAAGTTCTCTTCATCTTCACTGGTGTTTCAGGCATGCCGAGGCTCTGAGTTTGATGAAGGTATACAAACTGACTCTGGACCTGCAAATGACACTCTGGAAACAGATGCCAATCCTAGATACAAAATCCCAGTAGAAGCAGATTTTCTGTTTGCATATTCCACTGTGCCAGGTAAAAAAAAAAAAAAAAAAAGAAAAAAGGGAGAGGGGTGGGAAGGGAGTTTTAGAGGCAAGAAGCCTAAAAATTTATCCTATCTTCAGTTGCCAATCAACATTTTTTATCTATAATAGTTACTCCAATAAAACGTGTTATTTTTACAGAACTGGCTTTTTCTCTGCCCTTATGCATCACAGCTTCAGTAGCGATGGACAAAATGCTAAGACATGGTGTTTGGTTTGGCCAGTGTGTTCCATTTACTACTTTTGCAATGAGCTGAAACAGGAGGAAGCCCAAATCTGGCAGGTGACAAAGCACAGGCATTACAGATGGCAGAGGAAGGCAATATCAACCTTAGATAGGCTAGTTTAGTAACTATGTTGAATTTACATGCAAGAAGAGGATGGGCTATAGCATGAACCTTTGCAAAAATATGCTTTATGAAAACATAGAGAATTGTACCTTAATATGCTGAAGGTTGGAGAGGTAATACACATTATTTTCCTTGTCTGTGAAACAAGATTTGTGACAGGAGTAATAACAACTGAAGTTTTTGTGTGCAGTTACTGCTTATCCAGAATCTTTCACACAAACTGGTACATTTCTCTCTGATGTTCCACTCTTCAGAGCAAAGTCTTAAGAAGGAAGAGGGAAAAAAGCACGCTCTTTTATCTCTTTTCTGTAAGGTTATTATTCTTGGAGGAATCCTGGAAGAGGCTCTTGGTTTGTGCAGTCTCTGTGCTCTGTGCTAAATGAACACGGAAAACAACTTGAGATCATGCAGATCCTCACACGGGTCAACTATGTGGTTGCCACGAATTTTGAATCACAGTCTGATGATCCACGCTTCAGTGAGAAGAAGCAGATTCCTTGTGTAGTCTCTATGCTTACTAAGGAACTTTACTTCTGAAAGCATATTTAATACAGCCAGTAATGTGAGATCGGGATAAATTTGGGGGTGAAGATTTGATTATAAATTGCAGTAACACAATTTTTAATAACAGAACTGTAATGACTCTAGATTTACATATTGTATAAGCTGGGGTACATGACAAATGGACAATAGGCAATATTTTAAAGACCACCTACATGCCCTCAATCAATCCTGTAGCTAATTTCTAATTTGTATTAGAATCGTAGACTCCATGATTCTCTTACAAATAGTTTTGATTTCTCTTAGTGTAGCTGTCTGAGAGTCAGTTACCTGACCCATAAAGGTTTACTCCAAAAAACAGATTGGAAAATCTGTAAAAAAAACATATAAATGAAGCTCCATCTTTTATTTCACTGCAATCTCATGGAATTGTAACTTCCTTGGAAATTTCCAAAGACCATCATACAATAAATATGTCCAGAGGTGAAACTGACTTTGTAGCTATTCAGAAGGGTGCTTCTTAGTCTAATAAATTTATTTCCATTTTAGAACACTCTTAAAGAAGAGTAATGGATGCACTGTGCTTAATATGGATGTCAATTTAGTTATCATTCTAGCGTAAGGTTAATTTTATTTGCAGATAATTCAGCTGAATGGTATGGAAATGTATCAAATAGAAAGATTTTCATTTTGGTTTTTCTAAAAGTAGGCAAACTAATTAGATAATACCTTAACAAAATACCATTGTGAAGATTTTTGCAGATGGCAATTAACTGAGAGAACAGCCTGACACAGTAGTCGTGCAGTTTCTCTGCTTGCAGAAATAAGAACACCTGCATGTTGATTCATAAGTTTTGAACCCAGAAAAAGTTGATGTCTAGACTTTGTTATAAAACATTACAATTTAATGTTGAAACACCAGAATTATGTATTTCAGTAAGAAATGCACGTTTAGATTTAACTTCTATCTGTGAGGAATTTCACCAAGACCAGAAATACTTGAATCAGAAACCAGAAGTGCCTTTTTAGTTAATATATTGTCTTGATTTTGTACTTTGGAGTTATGTCAATGATGCTTATATTTCTAATTTTTATATTCTTTTTAAATATGATAGCTCAAAAAAGTAATTTTAATGGTTTGATTAGACTGATAAATGATAGGTTATTCACCCTTTTCCTAGTTATGGACTCTTACTTTTTTTAAATCTAAGAAAACAGGTGCATGCTGAGTTATCTCTTTATTGAGTATATTTTCTTACAGGAAATGTAGCATAGCGAGGCATATCTTTTTCATAAGTCAAATTTACAATTGTTTGAATTAAATAAATTATTGTTTTGTGAAAGTCTTGAGCATAATATCAATAAAGACCTGTTTTTTTAATTTCCTATGAACGTCTGCCTGTTGGTCATTTGATCTGGTGAAGTGAAAACCAACCAAAATACGTCCCACAATTTTTCTCAGTCTTGAATGTTGGTCTTCTGCATCTTTATCAAGATGAGGTTTCCTGTGTCAGCTGGAAAGTAGTTTGGTAGTATAAGCTGGCATTTGATTGTTTGGGTTAAGTAGGCTGGATCCTTTCTTTAGAGTAAACCAGAATTATTGAAAAGATTTTAATGGAAATCTCCTGATTTGCCAGCCCTTAATCTTGCCCAGTGCATAAAGTGTTTGTATACATCACACTGTACGGTGCTCTAGTGGTTCATATGAAAACGTTCTTATTAGTTCCTGCAAACAGCTCTATCTTAAACTGTTTTCTAGCACTGGAGAAATACCAGAAATGTTTTACCATGAGAAATGTATCAATTCAACATTTTCTCTACTCTTACACTTTTACACAGCTCTTACACTTCATTGCACTTCGCTGGTAGATTTTTACTAAGCTGGTTCTGCTAACAAAGATACCCTGACACCAAAACCACCCTTTCATTGAGGGACGTTGTGGTTCTGAAGCCACAAAGCCTTGGGAACAATAAGGGAGCAAGTAGGGGTTCTGAAACAGAGCACTTGAGGTTTATGAAATAATGCCAAGAAATGTAACAGTATAATAGTTAAGGAGCAGACTTCTTCTTGTGCAGTTTATTCATAAAGGTTGTTTGAGAACAATCTTTAATTATTTAAAAAACTACTGCCAATCTATCTTTGCTCAGAAGCACTGCAAAAATGTAGACTTTACCAACTTCTGTCAAGTGAAGCAAAAGGCCATCAGTGCTATTCAAAATTGCTTGCAATTAAGGTGGATCATTAAATACCTCTGTCCTGTTGCCAGGGTTTGTGTGCATCTCACCACTCCGTAGCTGCCTCACCAACAGTCCCTGATTCAGCTTGTGGCTGGTGAGGTTCCCGGTGAGTGGTGACAAGGAATAGAAGCAATTAGCATTGGTTAGTTTACTCTAGCAGTAGGAAAAGCTTCTTGCCCCACTTGACGTGATGTCTTAAAAAAAGGAGGGACAGAGTGGGTCCCTACAGATCTTGTTGTACATTTACTCTTATGGACAGTAAATGCAGACAACTTGGGAATTTCCAACTAACAGGTGAAGCAGTAGCTGTCTCTCTAGGAAGAAAGGCAAAACACTAATATCTGAAGCTCTCTAAGGCGTCAAGCAAATAGGTATTACCAGGTTTTAAGAGATCTCTCCTGGTAGACCAAAGGTTTCCTGGAAAAAAACATGATAACATAGTGTAATAATAATATGATAGAACAAAGGAGCACAGCAATTCTATATGCTGATTTACAAAGAAGGGAAAAAATAAAGGCAGAATCTTAAGCAACCTCCAGGCTTGTCCAGTATATGAAGTATACAAAGATCAGGCATAAAATACATGAAGATGCTGCCAGAGAGGAAAGCAACTTGGAAAGATAACTTTGAGAGAAAAACATAATTCCCTTGTGCAGGGGCCCATGTCTCTGCTAGATGGAGCATTACTTTAGATCATGTCCGAGAAGCATTAATATTATTTAGCCTGCAGGAACACATTCCCAGTAAGGAAGCCTGACCCTGTGACTTGAGCAATGCCATTTTAGTTTATTTTCCACTCAAACTTAACAATCTTTTTCGTCTAAAAGCATTTCTGATATTAGCAGGAATAGCTGAACAGCTGAAAATCATTATCATTAATGATATGCTGGATGTCTCTGGAGAGAATGCAGAAAGTCACCCATAACCAGGACAGACATTGACCCTGCAATAAAAGTACAGTTAGGACATAGGTAGGGTAAGAAAGCCCATTCCACTTCATGTTTTTTTTTTTTTATTTAGTAATCTAAGCTTGGTAACACTTTATGGCACTGCATGATCTTTTTATGGTTCTTAATGTTACTTTCTCTCCCAGTCACGAGTGAGTACAATCTCCCAGGCACAGCTCCAGGGAAAAGAAAGGGGCTATTTAGAAGCCAGTTTAAAAAAATAAAAGGTACCTCCTCCAGGCTTTTTTCCTCCTGGGAGACATTCATGGCTGCCACAAACAGGTATTTTTTTAATTGTTTGTAAGTGAATATTAATCTGGGTTTCCCCTTTTGGAACAGTCTTTAATTTGCTTCTCCAGGCAGAAACTGGAATTTCCTTGTGGGTCATATTTCAGGGTGTTTGTGTTCATACACCAGCTATAAGTCAGCAGTCAGTTCAGGGAGGACACTTCGTCTTTTGCTGCAGAAAACAATACAGGAAATCTGGAAATGTTTGATGGTGCATTTCTCTAAGACCTTCTACGCTAGAAAGACATTCACCTGTAAGTATGAACACACTTTGTTTTCCTTATCTTGGCATTATATTTTTGAAGATTTATAATAGTGCACTTCTTACTCGTTTGCAGCACTTTGCATTCTGACTGAAGTACCTTGTTGCTTTTCCAAAAGGTTGAAATCACCAAATCTCTGAATGTCAGGTATACAAAAATCTGATGGGGTATAATCACAGAATTGGCACTGTTTGTTCTGAATTAAACATAATGTGCTTAATAAGTTGCTTCCATTGAAGTGAAAAAATGATTAAACACAACTTCTTTTCCAAAATGCAGTGAGGCAGCAGTGATAAAAGCTTGCTGTAATCTCATCTTTCCACCTGGAAATGTTGACTTTTATTGAGACCTAGATGAGACTTTTATCCTGTTACAAGCTGTTAGAAGGCTGCTTTGAGAGGTGTATCACTTGCAGTCAGAGTGACTTTGTCAGTCACACTGGCAGGAATATTACTGTGGCTTTCACTGCAACCCCAGATGTGTCCCTCTATTACTGACATTAAACATCTGACTTTTTGTGCAGCTTTTTTCAGTTTTGGAAATAATTTTTATCTTTTTTTTTGTTTGCTTTTGTAAGCAATAGATGAAAAACCTAGGCATTAAATTTTGTAACAGTCTGTCTCAACTGTTGTACAACCAACCGAAGAGTTGTACAAAGAGCTCCCCAAAAGAAGCAAAACTGTACTAATGTCCCTAAAAACAGCGTAAGCAGAAATGCTCCACAGAGTTCTACAGCAACGGTTGTTCCCTTTTACAGCAGGGTATTGCCTGAAAGCCCACAGTCTGAATCATGTCAAAGTAACTAAAGCCACTTTTTACCTTCTGAAAGATGCGCACCGCTGTGTTCTTGCACTTTCAGGGCACACAGAGCTTATCTTGCTGCCAAGGCAGTATCAGGAACAGGTGCGATGCAATGTTCCTAGGGTACAGCTGGGGAGGCTACTGCAATGAAAGGGGCAAATGCAGTTCTGTTGGCAGGTCTCTTCACATCCTGAGCAAATCATCCCTCTGAATCATGTAAGTTAATCAATGTTGTAGTGCATCGTTTTATATTTATGATTTAAGAATAAAACACAACACTATAGCATAGAACATATAATCTTATATGATTTTATTATCGATAGTAATATATTTAAGTGAGTAACAACTATAGTCGTATCTGTAGTTTCTTAGGGAATTTTTCTGTTTAATTTCCTATAGTTTAACCATCACTATGAAAACAAACATTTCTGAGATATTTGTTATTTTCTCAGGCAACCATGCGCACAGTGAAATGTTGCTCAGCAAGAAAGAGTGAAAGGAATTAGCTTGAAGGTTTTTACTTCCCTGTCTCAGTAAAAAACTAATCAGGATGGCTTCAAGAACTGCAAAAAACTCTGAAGGTACAAAATTTCATTTACTAAGATTTGTTAGCGGTAAGATTGAATCAGGTTGCAAAACATTCTTTTCAATATTTGATACTATTCTCTCTTGCCTCCAGCTGCCAAGTATTTTGTTTTAAATAGTGAAAACAGTGTATTGTGTAATTCTACTCCTCCACTCCCTCTCTTAAAGAATCTGTCCTAAATGCAGCATTTTCTGTTACAACGGAATCTTTCTTGTACCTGAAACAGATTGGACTGACATTTCTAAAAACATCAAAATCCTTAAAAATTGACTGGGAACTGGAAGATGTGTCAGTAACTCTATGACACTGACAATGAATTCTTACCTCCCCTGAAGTCAGTAGTAAATGGGATCTCAGAACCAAGTGTTTCTCTCCACAGAGTTGGATGTTGATGTATTACAGTCTTTCCCAGAACTTGCACTAGACTGTTGGAGGTTGACTGCCCTTTCTTCAGTCACTGGATTCTTTAAAAGCATTAACATCTCCTATTGGGCTTATGGCTTAAAAAATGGAATGAGATTGGTACTCCTTTCACTGGGTGTTAGTAAACTGAGCTGTTGATCAGAAATCCACCAGTGGTGAGAAAACCTGATTGTATGTAGGGTTGCGAACAAATATATTCACGTATTTTTAACCCTAAGCTTTTAGCTTATATTTACCCTGTAAGACTTCTCCCAGTTGCTGCATCGTGATCTGCAGTGTAAGATCATCTATCATTTGAGGTGTTTGCCTGTCCGTATTGAATTCGTACAGATTTCATTAGGGTGCCATTTACTGCCTTTCAGTTCACTAATGAGGAAGCTAAGAAAGACCAGACCCCAGAAGTTAAATAAGAACTTTAAATAAGACAGAGCTTCATGATATCTTCTGAGCCACCTCTCTCAACACAGTACATTACCTCTATCATTTGCTGACAGCTTTGGCCAGTTGTCAGCAGTAACAATGACATCAAGGAAGCAGGGACTGGTCCTGTATTTTATAGCTTTGATTTGTGTTTCTCTTCTCTAATTGAATGTGCTTTATGGTCATTTAAGCTCAGAAACCAAGTGCTTAGCAACAATTTTCATTTCAAGGAGCTTCTTTTAAGAGATTAATCGGCAACAAATAGAGTAATGGTGCCATTCATTTCTCTTTGATTAGTAGAAGCTCAAAACCCATTTTGCCCTGAAGGTGGACTTTTCAAGCATGGTTTCTTCATCAAGTCACCACCGCATCATCTTATCAACTCCAAGGTACATGAACACAGATCAGTCATATTCCAGCAATCTCCCACCAAACGTCAGATACTTCTGCTATCCTAGGTTTTAACAAGAGACAAATGACTTCCTCTTTGGCAGAATTCGTGGAAAAGGCGCTTTTTCATCCTGTCCAAATCCAACAAGGGCGATTACATCCTGAAGTACCTAAAAGGAATGTCCATGAAAGGCTCCATAGCTGTTGATCAGTATGTAACTGAAATATATCATTTTTTAATTTAAATATTCTATTACCCATCTTAAATGACGACTAATTGTACAGGCACTTGTTCCTGATTGAGGTTCTTGACCAAATCCTACTGAAGACAATGAAAGAGTCCTTTGGGATCTTGTAGGCCTAAAGTACAACTTACAGTGTATGATTTACAGAGTTAAAATCCTAAATATTTTGATGAAATTTTATACATTCATTTGAGCAATTGTGGTGACGCACCTACAAAGCAGACAGGTTGGTTCCATGATCCCAAAGGCTGTATTCCTACAGTAGATGATATTTTCTGTGAAGATAATGCTTTGCACGCTTACACAAAAATAAGGATGGACTATGCCAGTTGTAACTGTGCAGACACACAAACTTAATCACCTTACAGATGGCAGGGTACCTCTCACCCTGCAAAGAATAGTATGTTTGCATGCTGTATAATTGAATAATGTTTCATGTGGTTGTCTTAACAGGATCATAAGTGTAGAAATAGGCATAAGTAATTCTGAAACAATGGTGATGGTGAGGAAGATGTTCAGATGCTTTCCAGAAGAGGTGATATCCATCACTACTGAAAACAGATGTTACTACCTCATTGGGAAAAGCAGGTAGGTAGGCTGAGAGATGTGTGAATGCAGTGTGATATTGCAGATAAGCTAATGTAACTCTAAGCTGCTGCCCTAAGGCATGATCCCACTACTTTGCAGCTCTGGCCAGCAGCTCCCACCTCTTCCTGTGTCTGAGCAACCCAGGCCAAAGTGGCTCAGATGAATGATCCGAAGGAAAGTTGCTCTCTTCTATTGCATTTTTCCCATGCCTGGGTTAATTTCCTGCAGTTGCAGACAGCTGAACCAGCTGGGAGAAGGCTGATCTCAAAAGGAGTAGCTGGGGGCATACCTACAAGCTGCTCTGCTCACTGCAATCCAGCCTGCAGCAGGGCACTAATTGCTACAGCCTAGGTGGTCGGCTCAGTGAGGCAGGACATTTGGCACAGTGCTTCTCCACTGCAGCTTCCCACTTTTCGCTTTCCCAGCTACAGGCATAGTGGGGTTTTTCTGCCCTAGGGCAGAAGAGCACCTGATGTGTGAATTGCTGATAAGCACAGAAGCAAAACACATACCTGTGTGCCACTTGAGCGTTCCACTCCACACCTTCGCCCAGGGCACTGCTCTCAAAGCCAGGCTCTATAGGAAGTGATGTAGAATTAATCCAATGAAACCCACTTGAAGCACTGAACAGAACACATACTTTCAAGAGTTTCTCACCCTGCTTGCATTCCCGAGCCCTATTTTCAAGAGTCAGCAGAGCAGCACTATGCATAGAGAATGAAGCAGAAAGCACTATTGCACCTCCCCTACAAAGCCTTGCCATACCTGGGCTGGGTCTACACATCTCTGAGGCAAGGTTTTTTCATCCATCCCCTGAAGGGATGGTGCAGATTTTCCCTGTTGGTTTCTAGAGGTGTTATTTTAGGCTCATGAGAGGAAGTAGGTGAGCAAATGGGTTTTCCCTGTGTTTTACCTAGGAATAGGTGTTAACTTCTATTGTTCTAACCCACAGGCTGGAAATAGAGGACTGGGTCACAGCCATATCTTCCATCAGGGAGGCCAAAAAAGGTGGATGCTGCCCTCAGGTGACATGTTACTATACTTGATTTTAGAAGGAAAGAATCTTTTTTTTTTTTTTGACCAAATTCTACTGATTTTGTAATCTTGTTAGAAAGCCATGCAAAAGCAAGGAATTTTTGCTTTGGCCTTGTCACCTGTCTCTTGCCTTGGTTAATCAGAAATTATTTTTCCATATAAATCCTGTACTCCAGGCTTACACATTAAGCAGGCATTGCATAGTCTGTTTGCATGGGGATTGTTCTTACACCAAAAGCATCTCTTTGAAGACTAAGACACATGGAAATTAGGAAGTGATTGACACTGTGCTACAATGAATTGTACCTTTGATGTGTCAGGATGAAAATGTGTGTGTAATTCTTACTGTGTGCTTTTTGGATCTATTTACATGCTGTTTTACAAAGTGATACACATCTAGTCTGTCAGTGCTGCGAAACAGCTGGAGACCCTGCCAGCTCAAGCTGCAGCCCTTCAGGTGTCTGTCTAACCTTGCTGTTATCATTTCTCTAGAACCAAGATCTTGCAAATTCAGAAGTCAAAAGCCGGTCCTTCTCTATGCCACTGTTCTCGAATTCTATAGATATGACCGGTTCCCCGAGAAGGCAAAGCTACCTGAAGGTAAATGGATTACCCATCTCTAAAAACGAGTTTGCTGCAAGGGGTGGCTGTGAAATTTGATGTAGTTGGTAGTTTTGATCAAAAGTTCTTCGGAGCTCATGCAGTGAGTGCCCACGTGGTCTGCATTGCTCTGTAGTGGGGTTCCCAAGCAGGAACAGGATGTTAACATCATAAGAGAGCCCTCACAAATGTGTAACATGCCAAACAGCACTGGCATGTTGGTTTATAAGTCTGTCTGTAAGTAAAGACAGATAAAGAAGGATCAGGAGCTGCTAGCCACACCCTTGCTGCTCTGTGCTTGTGCTGTTCTTTGTTTCTCTGAGCTCTAAACTCTAGTGGGGAAGTTCAACCCACTGCTGCCCACTGCAGCCCACACTTCTTGCTGTCTGTGCCTTTCAGATATTCCCTCTCAGTATTTAAATAGAAAGTCTTAGTCCTTTGGTGGCAGAATGAATAGCTGCCAAAGAGGTGTTGGTTTCTGTACTCACAAAGTCGTGCTCAAATAGCCTTGATGGAGGAAGCTGAATGCATGTGAAGCATCTCCAGTGTATCTTTAGGAGTCAACTTTTTTTTTCTTCTCTATACAGGATGATGGTGCCTCAGAAGATAAGAACAGGCCAAATTCAGATCCTGGCCCTCATCAGGCTCAGAGCAACTCACCACAAGGAGTTCTACCAAGACTGGTGAGCACAACAAATAAAGCTGCTCTTGACTTGCTTAGCCTGGAGAAGTGACTACTGGCTCTCATGTCACCTGACTATCTATAGCCACAGATTATTCACCTATTTCCCAGCACACTGACCTGCTTTTTATTATACAGACTTCTTAAACGTAGCTAGTCAGTTGCCTCATTTAGCACTGAAAATAACCTTCTGAGAACGTACTTTAAATACCCTTTATTTACCTTTTCTTGGGGGCAGTTCCTCAGAGTTTCCAAGCAGAGATTGCACCTTGAGGCAGCTCTCCCGAGGTTGATAAAAGACTACTCTGAAGCCGCAGTGCTTGAGGATTTGTCCCTGCTGTCATATTTTGCAGCTGTGCCACACTCTTCTGGGCTTCCTTCTGCAGCCTCTGCAAGCAGCAGTTGAATCAGAGTAATCGAGCTACAAAACAAAATCAGACTGAAGTACACCTTAAAGCTGACATTGTATCATTATAAATATGGCTTCCAGTAATTTAGCTTCCATATCTGACAGGAATTATTTAAAAAGATAGAATGATGAGTGCTACTATGGATTATTAACAAAGCATTCTGACCTCTGTTCCCTGAACAAAAAGATCTGCAGCAGTTTCAGATACTTGTCAGCCACCCTCTACCCTGGGTTACTGCCTTTCCAGCAGCTGACAGAACTGACAGCACAAGCACACCAGTTTGCAGTTAGGCAGTTGAATATAAATCTATCTTTATTGGCAGTTCATGCATTGGACTATGATCTGGAGGAGCTGAGGTACAGGGAAAGAATCTATTCTGCTCTCACAGCTAACAGGACAGCGAATCACATGCTGCAATCACCATTTATTTGTACAGGCTGGCAGCAAGTATGATATAATACACTTTGATTCAGTGGACTGAAGTGAAAATAGCTGAAATTACATTGCAATGCCAAGAGTTGTTATAATAGTTCAGCTGAGGCACTGTAATTTGTGAAAGTGCAATCACTCAGCTTTGAGTCTGAGCTCTGAAATGAATTGTGTTAGCCCTTAGTTTGACTTGAGCTACCACTGCTCTTGGATGCACACCAAGGCTCTCTTTCTGCTTCTTTCCTATACGTGTCATTTCTGTCTTATTCATTAATCCTTTATACTCACAGTGACTCTGAGAGCACTATTGTATGTAGCTGGCCAGAGCAGGACAGGCTGACAAGGAGCATTCAAAGATAAGGAATTTGGATTGTCTTGTTCTCTTTAGCCTGAAGCAGAGGGAGTATCAGGAAGCTTATATTATTTCAGCATGTGTCATAGTAAATAACCTTGCCATACAGCTAACAAGGAGCAAAAATGTTTCTGCATTTGATAAAAATATTACACTTGACTCATAAGTTTAACATCCGCTAACATCTCCGGATCTGTTCTCTGCTCAGTGATGTACAGACAGCTGACTTCCAGATTAAGCCTTTGTATTTACTTCCTGTTGGAAGTATGACTCTTCATTTCTAGTGTATGATTAGTGTTGCTTTTTATTGGCAGTTCTGTCACCCAGGCCCTGATCTTGAAAACTGGTCAGAAGCCATTGTTCATGCAAACAGGCTTCTCCATGTCAGCTAAGTTTGGTCACACAGGCAGGGACCCAGCTACCCGGGAATGCTTTGAGAACCTGGTTCCTTTTCAACCCATGTTTTTGAGCTGCCAAACTACATCTGACTCAGCAACTGAGTTCTAGCTATTTGCACGTATCCAAATATCCAAAATATCCAATATCACCATTTAATATCCAAAATGCATCAAAATAAGGAATCCTAATTTGCATCACACTGTATGACAGGTCCTCAGACAAACTGGTCAAGAGCCTGGCACCAATACATGATGAACATGATTTTTTGAAAGAGAAATTCAGGGCAGCGTGTAACTTTTAGCCTTTTCCCCAAGGAGCCCAAAACTAGCAATTACCCAGATGATTTCCAGGTATCATTCACATTTTTGCTGCAGCCAATTTCCCTCATAGCCCACTTTCTCTCTAATGCCAGTACACACTGTGGTTCAACACAGACTTACTGAACTCATTTAGCTGTACAGTTGAGAATAATTTCAGATTGAAGTTAGCTAAACTTCTCTGGTTGTAAAACATTCAGAGGAACACAGATGTCATCAAATTTCTTTAGGAAAATGCAGTGATGCTGCTATTTAACCTTTTCCACTGCTCTCGTGGTCTGTGATGATGATTTGGAGAGACAGTACACGCATTTGCCAAAAGTGGCCACTGTCAGCAATCAAAAGCTCAGTTTGGGAAGCTGATGAGTGCTGTCTACTCTGAGATTTCATAGGAGTTGGAGGATCTCAAGTCTTAATGTCACCTCCTCCTTCCCCTTTTCCCCAAGCATTAACATGCTCAATTGACCCAAAGCCCCCAAAGCATGACTAGGAAACTTGTTCATGACTTTAGATCATGACCACAGAAGAGCTAGTCTTCATTCCCAAAGGAGTTTGGTTATGCACTTCTTGAAGGACCATTCGTTGGTTTGTTCTGACTGCTGCAGCGTGGGCTGCTTTTTATGTCATTTACACCAACGAAGAACAAAAATACATTCATCAACTTTAATTCTATTCAATGTCAGTTTCTTCTCTTTACATCTAAGAGAGTAATTAGTTTAATTTACTTTACCTTGAAAACAGTAGTATATGCTTGGCATATTTAGCAATTATTAAAATGATTACCATGGAAACCAAGGATGTAAGTAGAAAGATGAAAAATGGTTGTATCACAAACATGGCATGGAGAATTGCATTGGGAGGCAGCAAAATACTAAGTACTATACTCTTCATTACAAGGAAACATAAAAATGAGTAATTTGTATTTAGAAAGGTTTGTGGAAAGATTAATTTCTCCTTGACTCACCAAATAGCCGCAGACTTAATAATTGAGGTATTAACGAACATCGTTCAGGACACAAAGGATTCAGTATCAGATCTTCAGCCCCTGGACTATGAGAAAGAATAAGAAACCTCTAGAAATGAGAGTTAATAAACTTTTCATTAGTCAAGTGAAGTCCCAAATGCATTCTTTACTTGATAATATTTAAAAACTGCCTAAAAGCGACAAATATCTCCCAATCCTCTTCCAGATTTCCCATAGATTTTTTCCTCGTGTAAAAACTTTAAGACAAATACGAGTTTTGCCCACAAGCACATAAAAGCATGCAGAATCATACATATAGTATTCAGCCTACTTGATTTTTAAACAAAATAACAGTTTTGAACATGAAGTCAATTGCAACTGCCTAGTTACCACAAATCCATCCAGGAGAAATACTGACACTAGTGCCAATTTGTGCATGTGTTTCCTGTAGACATTCACTAGGAAATGGCAAAATCCATGTTAAACAATCCATATAAGTGAACCTGTTCAAATAAAAACATTTTTTTCGCAGGATAAAACTCTGGGAAAGACTGAGGAAAATCTGTCATCAGATTCAAACGAAGATCTCGAAAAGGAAGAAGAACCATATTACCAAACTCCCAGCAGTCTTTTAGCAAAGGTAGTTTATTAGTTGTGAGTCCTGTTTTGTTAACAGCTCCAAGGAGACAGACACACATAAAGACCCAAAGAGGAAATGGTATGAGGAACCAATTCATACCTTGCCACAGAAGTACGTAGATAAAGCAACAGGTAATAAAGCTTCAATGTGTACAAGAAAAATGCTGAATCCAAAGGGTCTTTCTGCTAAAAAGTGGCATTTTCACAAAACATACTGCTGATTTTGTTGAAATTCCTCAAACTGACAGCTGTAAATGACTTTTGTCAATTGCATCGACATTCGTTTTACCAACAATGAAAACTGCACTAACTGCACATCATCTTCAGTGTTACTTCAAATCATTAGCATCAGTGAGTGGCATAAAGCCAAGCAGTAATTTTTAAATGCCAGGAAACATTTTGATGTGTGCATTTCAGTGTGAAAGAAGGGAGCAGGAAGAATCATACTGGTAATCTTAAATAAATACTGGCACTGAATTTGGGAGGTTCATTTCTCACGGTTTCCCATGCAGTCAGTGGTCATGAGAAGCTCGTTAGGCCAGGCAGGCTTCTGCAGATGTCACTGCCTCTCTCCAAAGCCTGTACAGATAACTGAAGGGCATGAACAACTTAATTTTATCATATGATCTAAGTGCTTTAAATGAAATAAATTATACATATATAATCTTATTGAAAGACTTTCCTAAATTAATATTACCAAACTTTAAGTGGTCATATATGAAAATATAGCTGGTTATGTTCCAACTTAAAAGATAGTATCTATTATACCAGACAGGATGAATTTCTAAGTTTCAACCACATTTCTAGCTTGCAGTTTCTGGGAAGTGAATTACTTGAGGTAAACCAAGCTGTACTAACTAATGGTCTTAAACAGCACAAACACTGAATGAAACAAGGTAATTGAGATTCTTTTTTTCTGTAGACAGAGCAAGAATATTTATTTCTTAACATTGTTATGTGTTTCTAACAGTGCAATAGTGAAATATCGGAGATTGACCCTACAGCTGAGCCTGATATCCCTGTACAAGAGAAGCCGTGTCAAAGGCAGCCAGAGAAGGAGAATGCTTATGAGTCAATGGAGTCACTGTAAGTAACACAAAAACAGAATCATAGAATCACCAAAGTTGTAAAGACCTCCAGGATCATCAAGTCCAACTGTCCTTCTACCACCAATATTTCCCTACTAAACCACGTCCCTCAGTACAATACCTATAACCTTTCCTGAACACCTCCAGGGATGGTGACTCTACCACCTCCCCAAGCAGCCTATTCCAGTGCCTGACCATTCTTTTGGAAAATCAAGTGTTTCGACCCTTCATTGAACATCTCCATTTAAGCTTTGCATGTTACAAGTGGCCTAGCTAGAGCTGTTGTTCATAGTATTTATAGCACAGTACCTAAAGGCTGCATCTTGTTTGAATGAGTTTTTCCTTCAGTCTTGGTCCAGAAAGTTCAAGGCTTGTGGAAATACCAGAGTGAAGTTCAAACTCATCACAGTGAAATTTAAGCTCACATTTCAACTCACGCATTTAGACAGGCTCTGACAAGAGGCACAGCAAGTTCTGTTGACTGATACTTAATCTAGGCCTTAAGGACATAACAGCACAACACGGCGCCTAGATACCTCAGCCAAGTCCCAGCAACAATTCAGATAGGCTCCCTGCAAAGAAAACTGTATTAGCTAGTTAAAAAAGGCAGGCCTAAGACTTGTGGCATTAGCTCCTAGTTTTTCCAGTAAGATGCAATGTTAGCCCTAGGAGGTCACCTCTCAATTCCTTCCTACCATTTCCCCAAAGTATAGGTCTGATGCTGTGTACTTTGAGGGTGTAGTAGTTGGTATGTCAGAAACAAAGACCTGAACATTGCTGTTGTGGTGTCACCAGGAAACTTTACAACCAGTATGATACAGCATGCTATAAAAAGAAGTGCCTACGTCATAACTGCATGACAGTGGTGAGCCAAAAGGCTCGTCCATAGCTGCTGGCTATGTCCTGCCACCTACAGACAGCAAGGTGTTATTTCACACAGTGGGAGGCAGTCGGAAACGCAGGCCCAGAAGACAGATTATTATTACAATAAATTTGTTCACCTGCGTTTTTAAGAGTCTTTTTGGAGTAGTTCACTATACAAAGATCACAAGTCTATGACATTGGACTCAAAATGCTACTAACCCATACCTTATTCAAGGTGAATAAGAGAGGTGACTACAGGCATTACAAGCCTTATCAAATAACCCAAGTATTCAAGCCTATCTGAGTCATTGTATCCCTCAGAGAACAGCGTTACATCCCCACAAAAGATGGTAAAGCCAAGGGCAACAATCTGTACTCATTTCTTTCTAAAAGTATGTTGTTAGCTGGAATGTTTTGGGGCTATAAAAATAGTCTTTAAATACTGAAAAGGTTTATTTTAGGATTTACGGCCCATTTTTAGAAGGACAGTTTATTTTACCTAGCCGTAATTTTGCCCACTGGATATTCTACAAGAACTTGTTATTCTTTTCTTCACTGACAGCTATTTGATCCAGCAGGAGTGTCTGGAATGGTTAAACCAGTTCGTATTTTTTATCACCATTCCTTTTTCAGTAGGCTAACATGTAGACATGACAGGCTCCATTCTCCTCCCAGAAGCCTGGAAAACAGTGCAAGTCCAAGCAGCTTGGAGGCAGACACAGATGTAAATCTCCCACAAAGCACCACACAACAGTCTTTCCTCAAAAGAAGGCAAAACTCATCACCACTTTCAGTGGTTCAGTTGTCTATACTGCTCAGGTAAGCGACTTCCCCTTTTCTTGTTGCTAAGAAGACAGAAGAAGACTAAGAAGTCTTTGGGTTCCACTTAAAGGTGGTAAAAGGGTACCTGATCTCAAATGTTTTCTCTCACAGTCAAGTTACAGATAAGACACAACTGCAAGAATTGGATATTTTGGTCCCCCTGGCAGATATTAACAGTTACCTAAAACTTACTGAAGCAGCAGGACAAATATGGTAAGTCCTGGATCTTGTGCAGTGGTGACTGCCAAGTGTGAATGAGTGACAGTGTAGGGGTAGAAGCACACACATCCATATGCAGAGTTTTGCAGCATAAAGGTCCAGTCAGGAGAGCAACAGATCTCTGATCCTTGCAATTGTACCATAAATAAAACATAACAGCAAGTTTTAATTTCAGTCTCTAGAAATGCCTTGGAAAATTTTTTTTGGCCAAGTATGCAGCACATACACAGACCTGCACCAAGTCTGGCCCCATTTTCAGGCTGGAATCCCCAGCTCTCTCTGGTGATGCTGCTAGCATCGGTCTCACTACCAAGATCAAGAAGATGTAAAGTCATGCAGTCCATGTGTCATTTCCAGAGGGCGGAGCCATAAATGCAACCCTGTTTTCTGTTAATAGTAACTGGTAATTATAAATCCCTTATGACTCATTTGTTGTCTGTCCTCCATATATGTTAGTGTCTCACAGTGGACTGGTCCTTGCCGACTGGGATGCTTATTTAACCATGGAGACTGCATAGTGGCTGTGAATGGTCTGCACCCACAGAACATGGAGGAGGCTTCCTTGTTCATCAGCAGGTCCACACAAAAGGAGGTACACTTGGCTAACTTCAAAGTGACAGTTAAATGAATTGCACCAAATGAGAAAACAAGATGCTTCTTGCCTCTCAAACGGCTTTATTCAAACCAGTTCATCCTGTTTTGACTGTGATATGAATAAACTGTACCAAACAGTCCCTCAGTATCACTCAGGGTAGCACTTCTTAGTCCTGTGCTACCTGGGGGAATGGCAAGATCTGCATCACTGTGTTTGAGGTCTTGATCTGAAACAGTCTGCATAACCCAAAATTTTAATTAAAGTTACCTGGTATTTTTTGGCTAAGGCTTGTGAATTGAAAACTGTGGCAAACGAATCACCTAGATTCCCACCTCCAGTTTCTTATCAAGCACTATACAAACTCACTGTCTGGTGCTTAACCACTTTTTTTTGTTGTTGTTTGTAAGATTTCTAAGTGATACCTTAACACTGCAGTAATCTGTTACATGTAGATATCTGTGTTTCTCTGAGATTTCAGATTTTCAGTATTTCAATACTGAAGTTCTTTGAACCATACAGGAGTATCTTCATATTTAGTTTTGCTGAGAAACTTGAGGTCTACAGATGTTGTTGCCACCTAAAGAAAAGTAAGCCAGTTTCAACAAGAAAAAAAAAAACTATTAATCTCTCTAACCAGAATATTTTTTACTTAGTTATAACACAAGTCAGATGGCAGCACAAATATTTATCATTAGTAACAATCTATAAAGCAGCATCTCCTACCTTTTCTTTTTAAGGTGAAACTTACTGTATGTAGGATTCCACATTCAGATACCTTCCATGCTAAAGGCTGTTCATGTTCCTGAAAAAAGACGTCAGTGATGAAGTAAGTGCCAAAGTTCAAGGGAAAGGATCAGGAAGAAGAATGGAAAATGTAGCATACAGAGATATTCTGTATGATAGACAGAAAAGATTTCATTTTATGTCTTAGTAGCTTGTTTTGGTGGAACGAATGGTTGTGTTTTTCCTATGTATCTATTTCTGTTACACGAGCAAGGCTGAAGATAAGTCATTTATATAACCTTTGAAATCTATATTCCTTGTAATGCAGTAGGAAGTACAGTTTCATGTCTCTGCTTGCCTCTACAGCATTATATTGACTTACCTCTATCTCTTGAATCAGCTAGGAGTGTGGGAACAAAGTGAGTTTGGAACACCTTACTCTCAGCTTCAGAAAAGCAAAGGAGAACTGAGAATTGCGGTCTTGGAAGGCTGGTGGAGAGCTGTGTAGTGATTCAGGGGAGCTCCTCTGGTGTTATATCCCTCACCTTAAAACCACAAAAATGCATAGAGAAACAGAGTATATTCTATATGGATATGTGCACATTGGCATATATACGTGTATGGGTGTATTTACATACATAAATATATACAGTTGATACACATGGCAACGAACCACATAACCATTTTTGAGTACAGATCATTCTGTTTTGCCAGATAAACCTACATAGCAATTGGGTTTAGCAGGCCTAGTTTTGCTGTTACTGACATACTGGTGTAAGCTTTCATCAAGGTGAATTTGGCCGAATAGACATTTGTCTGGCTTCCAGCTAAGTTAGTCCAAATCAAGAAACTTACTAAAATCAGAGTTGCTGCCCCTTAACTCCAGTAGCAAATTTGACAAAGGTGATTTCTATACTGGCATTAAAATCCAATCTGAAGTTTCATTTAAAAAAAAAAAAAACTTTATAAAAATACATTTAGCTTGAGATGAAAACAGCATCAGTAACTCGAAAGAAACAAAAATATTTGTATAACCAATTCAGACTCTGTTCCTATTCAAAATATTAATTTTCACAGAGTGTTTCCACAGCCCATCTCTGCTTTTGGGATGTGTGATATGTCGATTCCTTATGTTGGGAAAGGATCATGTTTTACTATTTGTTTCAGTTTTGTTCAAAGGCATAATTGTGCTGAATTCTGCATAAAGACAGAAGGAAATCTGGAATAACAGAGACTGAGAATGGAAGAAAAATAATTCCTTAGGAGCCCTGCTCCAAAGTTGCTACATTGATTCCTTTGCTCCAGGCTGTTTTCCTGGGCCTAACAACTCCTCTTCTGCCCTAAGGAGTCCCTGCAGGGTGGGGTGGCCAGGGCATTACCACAAAGGGCTGCTTCCAGCTCCATAACCCCGTGCCTCTAGGCCAGAATCCTGAAATCACAGCTCATAGAGGTCACAAGTATCCACTGATGACTCTTACTTAACCTTCCCTGCCAGAGGTTTGCAGAAACTCTTCTTCTGAACGATAGAAAACTTGAAGCCCTCCTGTCTTGTTCCAAGACTTGTATCTCTGTGTGATTAGGATTTTTCTTGCTCTTTTCAATGGGAAAGGGGAATGCTTTATTTTCTACCATGCGTTTTCTTTCAACTTTTTTTTTTTTTTTTTTAACATTTCCCAAAAACATTCACATGACACTGATCAGCAAAACAAATACTTCCTTTTCCAGTCAGGAGCAAACAAAGAGGTGAGACAGCCTTAAAGCAACTTCCTGAAATTCTGTGGGAATCATGTCTAAGAAGAGATAAACAAAGAGGAGCTCCAAACCATATACGGTGGTGAGAAGAAAGAAGCCACCACCCTGGAACTTGCATGTAACATTGCTGCTGAAGCAGACTTTGAATGACACACACAGCACCTCTCAGCCATGGGAGAACGTTACTTTTCAACAAGAATGGGCTATCAGTAGAGATATCAAACACAAAAGGGTTCCAGAATATTTCAGAAAACCTGAAAGTTATTTCTGTACTTTTATAAGCAGTTACTGAAGTGTTACATCAATTGATTATCAATTGATGATCATCAAGTGATGATCATCAATTATGTCAATTTGCACAACACTAAATGCAAATGATGAGTGTTTACACAATGTCTGATTCACAACACTTGCTAGACATGTGATATGAAAGTTAGATCCATACAGTAAATTCTGCTAGGATGTCTGAAGCTGTCTGTGCATGTGTAATTAATAAATACGTCACCACTTTACAACGCATACTGCATTCCCTAACTACCTCACTTTTCCCAATACGGTCCCTCCTCATCCACCAAAGACAATCTATAATTTTCCAGTAACTTCTAGATAGGCCACCAAACAAGTCATGTTAAAAACAAAACAAGCAAACAAACAAATTACCCTTCAAAAACAAGAACAACCTTCTGTAACATTTTTCCACAGTCTGAAAATTTTACCCTTCTCCAAATGATCAAATTCTGCTAATTCGCCTCTAGAAGCAATGGCAAAGAGAAATACCTACATGCACAGCATCACCCAGCACTCATATTTAATTCCAGCAGACCTGAACAGACTGTCTTTAAGTCCATGCCAGCTGATGTGGAACTGCTAACCTTTTCAATCACCTGTAGCATATTATAGGTGCTGTGTTAGCAGACACCTAAAGAAGCAGGTATTGTCATGACTTCTTGCTGCAGTGTGATCTGTGCTGTTAAAAATGGCCTCAGCTTCTGGCCTGTGGAGGGTTCCTGGCACAGATGATTAAACGGTCACGAGCTGAAATTCACAGAATCACAGAATCACAGAATTGTAGGGGTTGGAAGGGACCTCCAGAGATCATCGAGTCCAACCCCCATAAAACATACACATAAACATACATAAACATACAGACTAGCACATCTTTGTAAAGCACAGCCAGAAGGCTGCAAATCCTGAAGACATCTTGTACCACTGGCAACAAAAAGTTACAGGCATGGAAGAAGAGCTGCAATACCTGCAAGTTTGAATTGCTCTGTGCCTTCAAATTAAGCGTGTAAGAGACAAAAACAACAGCCTACATCACAGGCTCCATGATCTATGTTTAGTGATTAACATGCGCCTCACCAGCTGTATTTTATTCCTGTGTATTTAGGCTGTTTCCCTGACTGTTAGTTCATGGCACGTTCCCATGCTGCACTCACTGGCCGCTAATTTCCTCCTGAATTCCCAAATATGAATCATGCTCTTTCTGCATCTCTAGTACCTTCTCCAGTAGAAAAGTGGCAACCGTCCAGGAGAAAAGCGAGTCTTGGAGAGAAATTAACAGGAAGAGAAGTCTCAAAACTGATGCGATTAAGTTTTTTTTTTTTTGTTTTGTTTTTTTGTTTTTTTGTTTTTTAATTTAAAAAGCCTATTATATAAGACAAGACACAAGACACCACAAACCACACAGCCCCAGCATTTCCTCTGGAAGGCAACATGGCTGAGAACCAGGGATGGGGCCTGATATACTGATCAGACAGCACAAGAACAGCAGCAGAATGAGTACAGCCAGGAAGGAGTTAAGGAGTTCTGTGCTACCTGCCTGCATCCATCACAGCCTGATGTACAGACAAGCTCTCTCAGTGCAGTGCCCAGCCACAGCAATGCTGTGATTTTCAGTCCCCTTGACCTGGAGTACCAAGCCAAGGCATGTTTGGTGGGGCTGTGCTTTCAGCAAGTAGAAGCAATAAAGGAGAACTGCAATAGAGAACAGCAGTATTACCTTGTACAGAACAAAGCGAGATTAGTGGTGATATGAACACAGCAGGCACCAGACAGTGTTTTGTTCCCAGTATTCTGGGTGACCTGTGGCAGTAGAATCATAGAACAACTTAGGATCTTACAGATTATCCAGTTCCATCCTGCCTGCTGTGGGCAGACTAGCCACTTCACCATATTAGGCTGCCCAGCACTCCAGCCAAACTGGCACTGAGAACCTCCAAAGACTGAGCATCCATCTCCAGGGACAGAGCGTGTAGCTTCTTACAATGACAGTGGTCTCCAGTATCACATCCAGTGCTGCCAACTGCTCTCACTTCCAGAATATCTCCTGGAGACACCTCCTTGAGACTGGAGACATGCACCATGGGGAGGTGGTGGGGTGCCCACTTGATTCTAATGGAGAAGCCAACCCTAGTGCCCAACAGGAACATGAGAGAGCACAGTCATGGGAGAACAAGAGCTGATGCTCCCACAGAGAGCTCAATGCTGTTGTGTGCAGCTCATGTAGAGTTGCAGCAAGCAAACAGAAATCCTTTAGGTTGGACAACTGGCCAATACTTCATGCCCCATTAAGGGGTATGATAATATTTATAAGGGTATTTTCTCCTTGGTGTTCCTTTGGTCATTAGAAGGAGAGCACAAACTGAATCCTCAGCAGGAAGCCTTAACCACAGGCCCATCGGGAAGCCAATAATGTATTCTGAGTTGTACTGAGAGCTGTTTTGGTTTGCTTTTCAGGGACAGTAACCCCTCCCCAGAACACTCCTTTCCACAGGCAACCCCTTCCCTCCTGCAGGCTGGCCAGCAGGCTGCAAGAAACTTGGAGCATCTCAGGCCATTCCTAGAAATGCCACTGGAATTTCAAATGTTCCCCTTGGTGCCTTATCATTTTCTAATTTATTGCATCATTAAAAGAAAATGAGAGGGCAGCCAATGTTGATGTGAATCTTTCACTCAGCAAAAGCACCTAGAGAGAAATTGTATCTCTGTCTGACAGCAGTGAGGATGCTCAGCAGAAGTTTTCTTGACAGTGTCTCACCCTTCCCACTCTGAAATGACAGCAGGATCAGCTCTTCTTCAGGCACAAAGCCACTGTTATACAGCAGGACTGCATTTACAGTGGCAAGAGCCTGGTCATGTTGCGTTTTTCATCCTGGGCTGTCCAAGTTCAAGTCTATGCCTGAAAGCTGGTTTCCTTTCTAACCTGGCAAGAGAGAATAAAGAAGTTCAGATACAAGCAGGAGTACTAAGACACAGCTAGCAGTGGTGTTAACCTCATGGTTTAAAATGTCATGTCTGTTACTGTATTGTAAACATTGCTTCAAAGCCACAGGTTCCCAGAACAGGGTTTTCTTCCCCAAAGAGCTCAGCATCTCTTCCATCAAAGCAAAACATATGCATCAGTGCAGAGCTTATATCTGCAGGGTTCCCCAGACTCTCCTTGGTTTGATTCATTTCCAGACAAAATGGGGTTGAGAATATCTGCCTCTGTGTGTGCTCCAGCTAACCAAATCTACCTGAAAATCCAAAGCATCCAAGTGAGCACAAAGGATGCTGCTGCCTCTTCCTACTTAAAAAAAAAAAAAAAACACCAACCTTTCTCCACATAGCAGAAGTTCCTCTGAAAAGCAAAATCCCCAAACACTTGCTCCAGAAGAGAAAAACAAGTCAATCTCAGTCTCCATCTCTCGTAATCCCTGAAGAAAATTGAGAAAGGAAAAAAAAAATAAAGCTCGGAAGATTTAGAACATAGGCCTTGTGTGCTGGGTTATGAGCAGCATGCCTTGAAACAAACCCATTTGAAAAAGCCCCTCACACATTTGCATTTCTCAGACATGCCTGTTTCAACCTGGAAACATTGGTCTGGCAAACTGCAAGGATCTGGTACATTTGCCCAGGATTTCTGGGCTCTCCAAGTTCCCAAATCCATGCAGCACTGTGATGCACCCACCCCAGCATGCCTGTGCTGCTAAGGTGGTCTCCGCAGATTTACGTCGTTCCAAGCACTGTTCCAATATCACCAGCAGCAGCCATAAAGGTGGCACAACTTTTTCACCAAAGAGGATCTCCTATTTTCAAGTTATTTCTCCTTAGAAGCCTCAGCTGATCAGTGGCACATTCCACACCAGGACACGTTTTGCCAAAATAACCCCATTTACATGCTAAATGCCCTTGAACTTCCTCCTGCCCTCTGATTTGCCTCTTTTTGCTTTTATTCCATATCCAAAGCCAGTGTCATTCTTCACAGATGTCAGCTTGCTTCCAAGCAAATGTTCTTGTGCTCCTTTTTCTAGGAACAAAGGTGAATGCTGGTAGAGTAACATTTCTGAGAAATCCCCAGCAAAGGAAGGGTAGATGGGGAGAAAGCACAGATAGAGAAAGGTTGTGAAGACTCATGAAGAGTTGCTATAAACAGCAAGATGGTAGGAAAAATAGAATCAAAGACGGTAAAAGTGGAATTCTCTGCTGTAAATACATCTGCTATATTTGATGATTTGAAAATAATCAGCTCACAGTGATTCCCAAGCTTCAGATGGCAGTATCCGTTCTTCAAGCCCAGCTAAAGTACTGGAATAACTCAGAGTAAAACTGCACCCAGTCTCTCTGGTAGCATGATGAAACATTGCTAAATTCAACAGCTCCATGCTCCTGGCACCCAGAGCACTTCCATCCATTTGTACTTGTCCTGCTGATCAGAAGAGCAAGAGGCTACAGGGAGTGCAAGATTTTGGCATTGCAGCAAGACAGGAAGATTATGGAACACAACATACCCCTGCAGAACAGAGCCAGTAAGCAACTATCTTGTCCAGGGGCTACTGAGCAACAAGCTGTTTAGTGCTTCTACAAACTCTTTAGTGCTACTTACACAGCTCCAGTGTGCACAGGGCTGTTCCTGCCCAGCCCACCTCCCCTGCAGGGTGTAGACCTCAGCCAGCCCTGGGCCACCTCAGTGCATCTTTGCTTGTACCCACGGCTAGCAATCAGTGTCTTCTCATGGTGTGCTTCTGCACCTCTGCTTGGTTGTGGTCTTCGGTCTTCTCCTGGCATGGAACCGCTTGGTCCCAGGCCTGTGGCAATGTATTGTAACCTCTAAGAAGGGTAAAGGAAATAACAGATTGAGGGATACCTGGGGGCACGACTTGAGCCTTCATCTCAGTGAGTGGCCATCCTGCCTGGCTGGCTCTTGTGAGCCTTCTCCTGATGCTCCTTCCTAAAACAGCCTGGGCTGCAGCCAAATCTGAGCAGACAGCAGTGCTTTCTGTCCCCAGTGGGCATCAGGCTGCTTGTTAGAATAAACATCCTGGGAGCAAACTAGAAAGAACAAAAGCAGGAAACAAGAGCTGTAACATCTGTCAGCTTCCACTGAGAAGATATTCATCATTCAGTTCCATTGCTATGAAATCCCTGAAATTTCCCTAACTGATTCAGCATCACATTTCATTGGCTGGTGCAGTGTGCAACTCTGTCAAATATTCATCCACTTTGGCAAGCCCCACCACTATTTATTTCCTGCAGATGCACCCAAAGCCCTTCGGCTGCTTTTCCTGCACTCTCTCCTCAGCCACTGAGCATCTCCAGTTGACACCAGTACTCCTCAAGAGATTAAAATGGAGAGAGCATCTGGTGCGTAAGGCCACGGGCTCTCACAGGTGCTGCCAAGGCCCTGCAGCATCAGTTCCTCCATAGCATGGCAGCTCACAGCAGGTTCCTGCACTTACTGTCACAAGGCAGAAACCCAGAAACCCTGACACACTCCTGGAGACCTCTGTGCAGCCTCAGAAGCAGCGATAGCCCTCAGTTCACCTCCCCACAGCCCAAGGCCTTGTTTCCACCCCCAAGACATCGGCCCCAGCCATGCTGTGGGATGCCCTGAGGATCAGCCCTGCTGGTGCTCTCCCTGCTGGGAGGAATTGCCTGTCCCAGGAGGGATCGTGAAGGAGTTGCAGGAAAACTATGAGGGAAAGCAATGGTCTCGCAGGAGGGGGGAGCAGGAGCTCATCACCAGCTCTTCCCGCCAAACTCAGCCCCATCATCACTTTTGTTTACACTTGTGTCCTCATATCACCTTTTCCTCACATGCAATATTTGTGTCTTTTTTCCCCTAAGACAGTGCATTTTCCTCTTCAATCCATGACGATCAATGCAGCACACAGAAGGAAAGGTGAGTAAAGTTACTTTCAAACAGCAATTAAGAAAACTTAAACTGTTTTAAAAATCCTTATGCGAGCACTCACTGGGAACTGGCACAAACAAGACACTATCTGCTCTGAGATAGCACAGCACATGTAAATGTGACCGAGTGGAAAAGCCTCTTCCCTGCCAAAGTATTTGTTGGAGATTCGATAATGAGGTGCCACCACACGACAGCGGGTGAAGGTTCAGATGAACAAGTGGGAACAAGAGACGTGTGGAAGATGCAGGGCTCTGCCTGCTAGGGCTCAGCATGTGGTCCTCCAGGCTTCCAGCAGCCCCACAGAGCAGTTTCACCCTAACAGCACCTAAGGGCTCTGCGTGAGAGAAAGGACAGGCTTGCTGTGGCTGTTTTCATTTATCACAACCGGTCTGAACCTCGCTACCTGACTCAGCACATTCAGCAAGTTGCTTTCCTTCCCTTCCCTCTCCCCTCCCGCTGCCCTGTTCAAACAGCGCTGCTTTTAGCTCATTTATCTGCTATTGGGGAGATACGTAATCAGAGCGCGGATGGGAAATACAAAGCGACTCTTTAGAGTGGTTGGCTTTGAAAACCCGTTCTGGGCACTGATTGTCACGTGTTACTGCTGCCCTTTTTGCTTTGCTTTCTGCCCCAAGTCTGTCAGCAACAGACAAACTGCAAGTGCTCACAAACCCATTCTGCTTTAGTGAAATCTGTAATTTACATTGACATGTGCCACTCATTGGATGCGGTGGTGAACACAGAGCCTGATTCCCCCATCCACCACACAGGGCACCCAGGTGCAGTCTGACTGTAACAAAACACAGACCAAAAATCCTCATTGACTGACTTTAAACAACAGCATCTTCAGTTGGAGCCAACAATTTTAACCAAAGGAAAGGGTTTTTTTTCCTCACGCATTTACAATTCCAATGCTGCTAATAGACTGAAAATATTCACTCTGCCATTAGGAAAAGCAGAGTCACTTCTCAAGTCCTAATTAATTACACCAACTCTGAAATGAGGTTTATTGTATCAGTGCCCCTCAGAGGACTTAACCAGCTGTGATCAGAGAGCCTTCCCTCAGGAACAATCTCAGAAAGGAAAGAGAAAATATCCTGCTATAAATCTTTCCACAAAATACTTAATTAAATGGTTTTCCACATCTGCTTATGTGCCCCTTGTGGCAATCTAAGAAATCTAATCCCATTATTAACCTTCTTCCTTTACAATACGGAGAAGAACAACAACAACAAAAAAAACCACCAACAACAAACCCAAACAACCAAAACCTTTCTTCCAAGTTGAGATTCTGATCTTTTTTCATTCCATATGAAGGAGGCTAAATATATAATAGCATGGACAACTCCTAATAAGAAGATGGATGACAAATCCACCCTGACAAAAATAGGTGAAGGTAGGTAGAGGTGCAAACACAATTGAGAAAGAGGGGATAAGAACACGCAGGTGGCTGACACATGAATAGCTACAGCAAAGCAGGCAACTGAAACCAGACCCCAGCACACACAGACAAAAAAGGAATTCAGTACAAATGCCATTCTTCTTCTGCTTTTGCTCTGTGAGTCTATCAGCATCTGTTCCAAGTCAGGACATTAACTGTATCAGCCCAGCGATGCCGATGCCAGCATCTTCCAGTACACATCATTTTTGTGGTTAGATGCAGAAATTGAAGTTTGCTTTTGAAAGTAAACAAAACCCAACCTTTGCTCTGGGTGGTAGCATAGAAACTGAGACCAGAAAGCAGAGCCTTGTGGGGGGAACAGCTGCCTCACACCTAGCAGCTGCAGTGAAAGCCACTTTACTTAGGTTCTGTTAGAATCTGCATAAAGGCTAACTAATTGCACTGCAAGCCCATAAAAATGTCAGCATGTTCACAACCCACACACTTACTCATTCTCTGCAGGGATATTCATTCTTGAAACTGCAGCTATAAAAGCAAGAGGACGTCAGAGACATGACTACAGTTTTAACATCAGCATGCTCCTCATACTTTGTGCAAAATTAGGTAGGAAAAAGATGCAAGAGCTGAAAATCATGAATAATTCCATAACAATTCAACTGTTAGAAGCACGTGCCTGCCAAACAGAATCCCCAGATCTGCCCTAACTCGTACAAGGCAGTAATTCAGGCTCAGCAAAAGCAAGCACTTCAACAGATAATTTTTAACACACCTACACCAACAAGGAGTGGAATCCCAGGAATGGGTATGCCAAATCCAGGGCAGTGAATGGTTCTTGTGATAAGGAGAGCTAGCATAATATATGATGTAAAATAAAAACTTCAGATACTTTTAATTGCCTAGGTTAAACAGAACCATTTAACGATGTCATATCTCAGTGAGCGTACTGAAACAACTGTGAATCATGGCAAGTTTTTATACTAACAGTGACCGTTAAATAAATGTTTTTCTGACAAAAAAGGCACTGAAGATTTCAGATTAGCTCTACTAAGGAGTTGTAGGATGGCTTTTTGTGCATGATCACACACTTTGGAATGATTTCTATTAAAACACTTAAAATGACACCAACGTGCCTGTGTGCAACCACATACTTGAGTACCATAAACACCAAGCAGATAAAGAAACAGCACCGAGGGAGAAAACGCAAAGTGAAACTTACCTTGGTGTTGCTGACTTACTTTTACTTTTTTCCAGAATTCAAGGGACAAAGCTGTGCAAACAACCCTGCCAACACAAATACGTTGCACCACGTGGAGAAGCACCACTTGTGTTCTTTGGCTCTGTGTTGAGAATTTGCACTACAAGGGCACAGGCCTAACCTCACACAAGCAAAATACATGGAAAGTTCACTGGAAGTATAGAGAGGTTTCCCAATAGGAATGAGCAATTATCATACTGAAATAAATGCACTTACATTTTAGAAAAAACTCACATGCTTCATGTATGTTCTTTATTTTTAAAAAATCTTGACCATAATATAATTAACAGTGTCTTCTATAAAATTCATTCTTGCAAGCATGTATACTGCAGAGGCTACACCAATACTCTCACATAGAGTGAGAGTAGTTTCACTTTGGAAACAAAGTTTTAATTAACACTAATTCCAGCTTATGAAAAAATGAGCTCCTCTGAAGCCTGAGCTGGTAGCACATTGCATGAGCATAATGCTGTTTCATTTATTACAATAACATGTTTTCCAATAAGATTAACCTGGAGGTGGCTTCTCCCCCAGCACTGTACGTCTGGGCATCTCCATGATCTGAAGAAAATTAAGAACAGGATAAAAAGAATAAGATAAGAATAAACTGAAATAGGCATTTGCAAACAAGTGATAGGGAAATATATTAGTAGGTAAATCAGAAAACAAGGTACCCTCCCACCAGTCCATTTTTCTCAGGAGAATGGCAGTGGTCTCCTTCCCAGAGTTCCATGTACAAAAGAGTCACAATTTCACAGGAACTCTGAATTTCCCATTCAGCTTCTCTTCTTTGAAATACACATTTTTCCTTACTTATGTCCACTGCCCTCAATCATCCAGTCTCTAAAATGTTTTTCCATCAAGCTTCTGGCTCTCCAGTCACCAACGTTTACAGTGGGGACAATTTTCTGCGGCTTCAACCACTGAACAAAACGTTTCATTTCCAGGTAGCTGCTGTGTTCACTGTAAGGAATCCCTGAAATGAAACAAATCAGAGAGATCTGTTACTCTATCTAACTTCTTGCCAAAATACCTTTGTAAGATTTCCAGCTCAGAAATTATTATTATTATTTTTTAATTCAAACTGGAGATCTAAAGTTTACAGCTAAATGAAAACAAACATCCAGATTTTATTTCTGGAAAGTTATTTTGCATTGTTACCAAATCAATTGTCAGTGCAAACTGAACAGTCTAACATTTGATTAAATTAATGTTAAAACTTTAAAAGATTCAATTTCATGAATTGATAAGAACTGACAGGGAGAGGAAGACCCACAGTCTTCTCTCTCCAGCACGAGAGTGAGGATGGAATAAAACCTTGGCTCAGGAACTGCACTGCCACCAGCATCAGTGGGCCAAGAATAAATCCCTGGAGTCACTGCAAATATCATAGAATCATAGAATGGACTGGGTTGAAAAGGACCACAATGATCATCTGGTTTCAACCCCCCTGCTACGTGCAGGGTCACCAACCAGCAGACCAGGCTGCCCAGAGCCACATCCAGCCTGGCCTTGAATGCCTCCAGGGATGGGGCATCCACAGCCTCCTTGGGCAACCTGTTCCATTGCATCACCACCTCTGAGTGAAAACCTTCCTCTTAATATCTAATGTAAACCTCGCCTGCCTCAGTTTAAAACCATTCCCCCTTGTCCTATCACTATCCACCCCTGTAAACAGTCATTCCCCCTCCTGTTTATATGCTCCCTTCAAATATTAGAAGGCCACAATGAGGTCTCCCCAGAACCTTCTCTTCTCCAACCTAAACAAGCCCAGTATATCACATGACAATCTTTATATGCAAGAAGAGTACAGGAGCAAGTAGTATGAAAAGAAGTCTTCATTTACAGTGTTCTCATGTTCTCAACTACTTTCTCCTGGAGAGATCCATCTGTTCAGTTTCTCAGCCAGAAACCAGAAAGCACTGGTAACAATAAACAGCAGGAGTTCCCAGAAAAAAAATAAAGAGACCGTTCACACAACTAAATGCAATGAATCTTTATCACACTTACCATAAATGGTGATCTTTCCTCTTGTCTGCGGTTTGATATCCATCACAGAAAGGCATGAATCAGAGTAGGTCCACCCAGTAGGTTTGAAAGCCAGAACTTGATCAAAATTCTCAGAAAACTTATTCAGATGATCTTGCAACCCCTATTAAAAAAAATAGGACTTACGCTGAATGCCTTTAAATTGCTCATTAGTTGAAAGACTGGAGATTTCAAGATAGAGACATCAAATTAAATTTTGTTCTCATACTTTTATAAGAGCTTTTTCTTTTAAATACCACCTGCCTTCAAATCAATAATGATGAATATTTACATTTGCAGAGCACCTCGCACGTTAAGATCTTCACTGTTTCATCTAAATAAGCACATATTAATAGCTATGCATTACAAATTGGAACACATAAGGCATCATCACTTTGTTTTTTTTTAATCTTGCTCCCAAACAATTTGTTTCCTTCTCTGGGCTGGAGGTCAGCACTCTTGCAGCTGAGTGGTGATAAAAAAAAAAGGCAAAAGCCTGCTTGAGTGCAAAATCATCTGGTTAGCTTAAAGTGCCACTGACGTTTTGGTGTCTGCTTGTGGCCAGAAGGGGGGCGTGAGGGAAGGGAGATGGAGATTGAGAGGCTGTGACCAAACACCAATTGCTAACTTAACCTGTCAGACACTGGTAAGTTATTAAGTAGAGAAGTGGCACAGTAAGAATCATAGAATCACCAAGGTTGGAAAAGACTTAATCCACATTTCTCAGTACTAAGTGAGCTCCGTTCTTCTCTTTTTTTCAGACTGCCTTTAAAGTAGAGCCTGCTGCTTTGCCTTTCTGTATTTTGTGGACCGTTTTAAAACGCTCTTCACCCCAGAAATGAGTCACCTTTCTTAGCTAAGAAATTCCCACGGAAGTCTCAACACTGAAAGTCTACTGGCTCAAATCTCAACTGAATGTGCTTTTATATTCATCTGCTGTGAAACGTCTTAAACACAAACTGGTTTATTTGCTTTGGCTAAAAAAAAATACAAATAATGATCACGTGGAAAAACTAAAGCATGTGCATGCAAAAAGCATCTTTCAATTCATTTGCTGTATTTGTAAACAAAATAAATAAAATAAAATAAAATAAAATAAATGCAGAAATTTTCACTGAGTTTTAAATGATCCATATCCTCAAATATCCATATCCTTGTTCTTCAGCAGGAGAAATAATGTTTTTGCAGGTAAAAATATGATTAAAAATCCTTGGAAATTGAACCGAGAAGAACAGAAGAGAACCGTATCCCCTTTTTATGTCAAATACCAAACCGGAATTTAGCAATGTTCATGGGCTGAAGCTCATCTTCATGCAGAGCTGCATGCAGAAAGTCCTTCTACTCTTCTCCTACATCACATAAAGTAAAAGACAGGCTGAAAGCAGGAACTCAGTGTCAAAACATTAATTGCTAACAAGGTAGACCCTGCAGTCATTACAGAAATCCACTTCAAAAAGCCAGCACAGAGCAAGTCCTGGAACAAATCTCAGCTTATCCTGCACAAGCACTGTACTAAAGTGAAATTACACTTTCTGTGTATCATATTTGGAGACATTATTAATGTTTAATTGCATTTCATTTTCAATATAATGCTGTATGTCAAAACTTCACTAACTAAATATGATCTGACAAGAGGGTAATAAGCACCAAACACTGACGGGAAGAGCCAACAGTCAAGATTAGCCAGAAGGTTAAGCAGAGTATACTTCTAGAACTTACCTTAAAATTAATTTGCATCATGGGGAGAATGTGAAGCAAACTACCATTCCAGTTCGTACTGATGAGGGAATTAACAGCTGCTGACTCCAAACACTGCAGTGTTTTATATTTGTCACGGGACATGCTTGCCTTGGAACCCAGAACTTCAGCAATTGCTTAAGGATTGATTGAGAGAAACGAATAAAACCAAACACAAACAAATCAAATAAATAGGAGTTATTTTGTTGCTTCCTGGGAGCCATTCCTAACTATTACCCTGGGTCAAGTTTACTATTGGGAAAAAAATACCTATATTCAACAAGATAATTTTAGAATGTGAAACTGTTTCAGAAGAGAAACCTGGGGTAGCTGTTGAAAAAAAAACAAAACAAAAAAAAAAACAAACAACCCACACCAAAAAGCAACTACTCCAGATCCAGTGTTTTAGTCAGAATTACACTGGAAATCACAACTAGAAAGAAAAGGAGAAGAGAAGCACAGTGACAAGTTCAAAGTCTTATTTCTTTGGTAAAATCTTACTGGTAATCACTTGAAATAAGCTGGAAACATGCAGGGTTTTGGGACATACAAAGAAAACAAGCTAGAGCAACTAAATGTTGGTGAAAAAATTTTGTACTGATGACTTCAAATATATTTGTACTGATGACTTCAAATATACCTAAAAGCACAAGGAACACCAGCAGGGCAGAGCTGCCTGCTCTGGAGCATACTCTAAAGCAATCACTTTGATTTCTAATGCTGTACCTGAGTGAAGCATAGCATACAAGATTTTCATTAGGATAGATAAGTTGTGCTTTGGTTTGGGGAATGCTGTGTAAAAACTGATTTCTTTAAAACTGATAAATATGTGTATTTAGGAAACTACATTATAGGAAGCTTGAAGGAAAAACTGTCAGCAAAATAGAAGTTGAAGAATAATTACATCCCTCTGCTACTCTGGTAAAGTGAGATTACTAAAGCAAAAATACATCATTTACGTTTTAAAATGATCAGTGGCACATTTGTCACCACAATCAATTAAACAGGTTCATTCATTTAGTATCCAAGTATTCCTTCTGCATACTTGGGAGGTGTGTGTGTGTGTGTGTGTGTGTGTGTGTGTGTTTTGTTTTGTTTTTTTACTTACCTAAAAAGACTTTTTCTTTCCCAATGGAATAGGTGCCACAGACAACTAGAGTGCGGGGGTTTAAAGTCACCATCTCAAAGGCCGTATTGACAGCAAACTGGACAACCTCTTGTTGAGAAGGAAAGGTATATTCAGGACTACAGTACCTGGGGCATGGAAACAAGACAGATCAGATGGAAGACACCTGAGTTTACTAAGGACCTCCAAACTGCATATATGCAATAAGAAATGAAAAAGATGCTATCCTAAAATATAATTTCAGTTTGAGATCCCTTGATCAGAAACCATGAGGTGCCAAGATAAAACTGAATAAAACTCACCCTATGCATGCCTTCTCCCTATGTCAGCTCAGTTGCCTCTCTATTCTGTAGTTTTTCCTCTATAAATACCAAGTGCATTTTCAAGCTAGACATTTGTAGCATATTCTAATTACATCCTGATGTCTATTTTTTATCATGCACACAAAGCCATAACACACAGCATTATTCATTCACAGAAATATATGGAACAGAAATAAAGAACTGCAGCTGGACATTAGTCATCACAGAAAAACACTTACATACACAAGTCACAGAAAGGTCTAATGAAAACCTGGAAATATGACTTATCCATTTGGCATTCTTTCAATCTTTCAATTCCCTCCCCCTGCTTTTTCATAACAGAGCTGAACACTCATAGAAACAACCAGAAGACTCTAGTTTCAAAGCTGAACAACTCACTGCACAAATTTTAACCCCAAGAACTTCATATCACTTACAAATAATAAAGCCATTTCAATGAATGCATCTTTTTCAGTATCCACTTTTCTTCTCTCCCGTTAACAGCACAGCAGATGAACAGGACAGACATATAGGAACTTTGGCTTTTACATAACACTAAACAGAACTAATGAGTATTAAAACAGTGAGGTTATTTATACTTGGTTGGTTCACAAAGTAATACAAAACTGCAACTATAGGTCATACTGAAAAAAAAAGTGAACTCAACATACGTGGTATCAAGGTAAAGGGTGTGGATTTTTTGACCAATCAAAGCAGGGTAACGTTCCATAGAAGGATCTGCCCTGAAGTCTCCTGTGTGCAGAATAGCAGCTCCACCAGGCAGGTAAAAAAGGATCATTGCTGCACCTGGACAACTGGAAAGAAAATAGAAAAAACACCCGCATGTAAATAATCTACAGAGATGTGGTGCTTTGAGACAAGTAATACGCTGCCCTCCAGTAGCAAGAAAGTGCACAACAGCACTGTAAATCACACCTACTGGGCTGCCTAATGTAGCTAGCAATTCCTAGCTTATAAAGGAATTTTAAAGCTATCCTTAAGGCTATAGAGAAGACAGACTTGAATTCTCAGCTGAGAAGGAGAGAAGAAGAAACACATCAACAGTAATCAAGCATTAACTTCCTTTTTGGTTGCTCTTTTTTCATTGGGTACAACAAAGATGCTGCCTCAGTTGCAATCTCTGAGGTTCTATTAAACTTGGAGTTCACAAGGAAACAGCATACTATGAAAGAAGCAGCATTCTCATCTCTGAGGAGCACTGCATTATTGCAGGTCCTGGACTTAATGGAGCATTTGCTTTTAAACTCTATTGCAGGTTTTAAATGTCATCCAGCATGCAGAATTCACTGCAGAATTCACTGCTTGTAAGTACAATTCTTGGCCACAATGAATCCACTGCACCTTCTGCAGCTCCTCACCAAAGCTGTCTGAAGGGCAAGCGCTCAGACAGGAAAATCAGAGTGAGACTATTTTGGACATGAGTCACATGGAAAGGGTAAATGAAACTTCAGAAAAGGATAAAAGTGGCATGAATCAGAGCTAAAATGAGAAAACTGGTAAACTCTCCAACAAGTTAAACTTCATACTTAAGGTTTATATGCCTTTCAAACTGAAACAGGGGTGCAGGGAAGCAAACAGGAAAAATGAGAAGTGTCCAAATTACATAACAAGGCTTCCTTCATTCCTAGAAAGGGTTCTCAAAGGACTTCATGGAATCTTATCTCTCCAACTATAAACAAATCCTAAGATAAGTAACATTCAAACCATCTGTGACAGTGCTGCATTTCAATATATACTTTAGGGAAAGGACTTTTCTTCAAGCACATAGCCAAATAAGGTACCAAGAGACAGAACAGCAAGAGCACGGGGCTGGAAGTCAGGAGCTACTGAACCTAAAAATCCAGTGTGCATAACCACACTGGCAGTGCATCACACTGGGTAAGAATCTCACCCTTTTACCACTGAATGCACTACAAGTTACATGTTGTGATGTTTGTGGGTTTTTGTTTTGTTTCTGAGTGGCTGTGTTTCATCTCTCTCAGGAACCAAAGTACCATGTTTTTCTTCAGCTGAAGATTTCACTATTTTGAGTTGTAGCTACAAAAACCTAACAGATCTGATCATCAGTTCTAGGATGTTTCCAACCAGGCACAAAAAACTGAAGTACCCAGAACCTAGAAAACCATCCAAACTCTCAAGTGTAAACACTAAGGAGATATGTGTGGATAACACTGAAGTGCTCACTACAAGCAAACAAAATAAAACTACGGTGACATCACCAAAAAAGCCTAAGATCCATTTTAAAAAATAGCTCCCCTATTCCAAAAGCTAACATAAGCAATAAGCTTAGGCTTCTGCACTCCGAAGTCACTAATGAAATGAAAATCTATGTTAACAAGTCAAGTCAGGGTACTGAAAAATTTCTTCCCTTCTTTTTTCAGATCCGTGGAAACCCAAAAATTATGAAAACACTGGATCTGTTCAGACAATTATCTTTAATATTCTAAACAAACAAACACTGCATAACAAATGCAATGATACGTACTGATTGGCATCAAGCAACAACACTTTGATCCCATTCACCATACATTCTGTGTCCATTGGCAGCACATTGATGTACTGCTCTTTGACTCGAAGTTTGCTCTTCACCAGATTGCCAGTTATCTGTAACAAGAAAATGAACAAAATCTTTTAAAAGACTTTATTTTTTCTTAGAAACAAAGGCTCTCAAAGCCAAACTGTCTGGCTTAGAGAGAAACTGTGAGAACGTGAAGAGACCAACAAGAAGCAACACGATGAGTATTTGTCACTGTCTATCAGGAAGAGAAGTTGTCAGGGCTTGCTTAAATAACTATAGAAGTTTCCAGGTCACTGGCCCTGAGTCTCATCGTAGGGTACTGTAGTCAACTCAGCAGCTGCTGGAAGGACAACAAGGGAGGAATCCATTTCAGGGGACTTCCAGAGAGCCTCATAGAGAAATTTTTGATGCAGACTCTGGATGGGCTTATTAGGGAAGGTGCCCTACCATGCTAAGAGTAGAGAAGACCTGGTCGGACATAACACAGCCAGTGGCAGTCTTGGCCACTCGGAGACCTGAAGCACAGGACATGCAGGACCAGGCTAAAACAACTGCATTTACTTAACCTCGAGAAGAGGGTGCTTACAGGGAACTTAATTTCAAACTTCCCTCCCTTGATGAGGTCAGTGGAGACTATGGAGCCCATATTATTCTCCATGACACATACAAAGAAAAAAAAGAAGCTGCAGTCATGAGTTGTAAAATGTGACATTTCAATTGCATGTAAAGAAACCAGAGTGGCTTAAGCACTGCAACAAGTTGCATGGAGACACAGCAGAACCTGTCCTCTTCTATTTTCAAAATTTGAGCAGGCAAAGGCTCTGAATGATCTGATCTAACTTTGAAGTTAGCCCTGTACTGAGCAGAAAATTGAGCTATATGATCTGTAGAAATCCACTTAAACCTAAATTAATTCCTGGTAACTAAACAAGTAAGTTTCATTAATCTTCTTTAACAGACAAACTAAGATAAGATTTCTTCCCAGATTCCCCTATACATATTATCCACTGTTCTGAATTGCCCAGTAATGGAATCTCTGGTCCTGTATTAATTTTCATCATGATTATAGTTGTGTATGGACTTGATATATGAATTTGATAATATCTAGTTACCTTGAAAAACCTTACCTTATTACAGTACAGTGGAAATACAAAGTTTTTTGTCAACCCACAATAGTGATCAGAGTGAAAATGAGTGAGGAAATAGGCTGTGCAGCCTTCTATTTCTCCATACCGGAAAGCATCAACTGTAAAGCCAGTTCCTAAAGCAAAAAGGCAAGAGAAACCAGTCAGTAATCACAGATAGCCCAGAACAAGTTTCTAATGAGATTTCTCTTAGACTCTTATTTTTTTTTTTTTTATTTCTTTCTTCCAAATTAAAAACAGAATACAGTTCCACCATACAAAGTGTCAGGGACCACTTAATGATGGACTCAGTTTGCAAATGAGTCAACAGTCACACACACACAAATAATAATAAAAAGGTTTTTTCACATTAAAACAGAGTTTTAGCAACGCGTCCACATGCAGATACGTTCACAGGTCTCTCATCTATTGGTCATCCTACACAGATAGCAGCTGGTTGAGCAACTCTGTATTTAACTGGCATTTCTGAAAGTTCGTGTTTAAAATCTTAGCACAAAATAAAACAGATAACAACAGCTTAACAATTGATTTGGCCATCAACCTGCAAAATCTCAATTAGTCTGTTTAACGTTCTCCACAAAGCATGCTACTGTACTGTTACTGAGTGAGCGATCTGGGATCTTCAGGTATGTCTGCTGAGATAGAATGTGAATGATTTGCTGTTCCACGTGTTTAGTGAGGCGCTGTTTGTACAGAGCTATTGCATAAAGACAGCAGCACGGAAGCCAGCCCTCCTCCCTGCACATGTAATGTTTTAATGCAGACAAAATGACAAGTGGTCCTTTTACATTGGGTCATACTTTTGGAAAACCACCCATGATCCAATTCATTTGAGGACAATCAAATATTTTTCATTATATGTTGTTGAGCTCTTCCAGAAGAACTACAAATAGCTCTGCTATAGCTAGAAATAGCTAGAATTTGTAACTCCATTTAAAAAAAAACAAACAGTTGTCTGCCAATAAAAAGCAAAATAAAACAGAAACTCCTCAAGTGAGGATCCACACATAGCATTATCAGCACAGAAAACACGCTTCAGGTAAAGTAATTAAAACAAAAAACACTACAGATTATAGCAAAACAACTTTGAATTTCTGTTGCAGGCACAGAACTCTGCTAGTCAAATTTATTATATATGGGAAACGCTCTCAGTTCATGGAACCCATGATAGTGGTGTAATCTCATGAAGACTTATAGGTCAACCTTCAAGAAGCAGTCTGGCTCTCATAGTCACCAAAGTATTTCTATTTGGCTTCTTCAAATATTTATGTATAATTAAACCCTTTGGTGGTAAACAGAATCATGAAACTTTTAAAGTTGCTGGTGTATCACCCCATATTTAGCATGACTGCTTGAGAAGACTGAGAAATTCCTGTGTCCTGAGCTACATTCTTCTGCTTCACTTTCATGTCTTTGCTTATAAAGTTGTAGCATTTAAGAACTTCATATGCAAAATTATTTTTCTTTTTTTTTTTTAAATTAGCATAAAATAAGTGTAATTGACCAACCTATTTTCAGGGGCAAAAGACACAATGTAAAAGATTAAATGGAGGAATTAAAAGTGAACATTAACAAAGGAGATATTCAGAAACACTGTAGAAAGTAAATCAGCTCGTGTTTCTTATTCTGTCAAAAATAAGCAGAAGTCTTCCTAGCAACTGTTTTCCTGAGGCAAACATTTCACTGTGCTTTATTGAGAAGGCCTCTGTGGGCTGTTGTCCCGTGGTCAGATTCTTCTGAAGATCTGCACCCAGACATGTTTTTATTGACTCTGATGGAAGAAGTCATTAAAGATTACAGTTTAAATTAATATGGGGAGTGAAGAATAACAAAGCCTGAAGTTAGAGGAAAAAATGCAGTACACAAGCCCAAATCAGTTAACCACTACACAAAGCAGTAGTTATCTCTCACCTGGTATTTTCTTGTAGAAAGGACACTGTTTTTTCCTTGCTCCTTCATCTGGAGTAGATGATTCTCTAAATCTTTTTCTCCACTTCCTTTGGCCACCAGAAGTTACATCTGGAAAGCCTCCATCCTTATTTGAACTTTCTTTAACTGCTTCTAGATCCTCCACAGATCCTTCAGCTTTTCTTTTTTGCTGTCTGGGCTTCTTTCCACTGGGAGCAACTGAACTGAGTATCTGCTTTCCCTCACTCAAACACGCCTCTCCTTTGCTTTCCTCTTTTACTTTAGGTTTTAACCCAAAGAAAACACCAATGTCCATTTGTTTGAGTCCTTTGGCAGGACTTGATTTGGCCTTCATACTTGCTAAGGAACGAGATGAGACCGTTTTAGAGATGGGGCTGGGAAAGCACACACCAGTTGAATCGAGGTTTTCTTCTTTCTTCACCGCTGGCTGCAAACTCTCTTGGCAAGCTCCTTTTTCAATGGCATCAGCAGTCATTTTATCCATATTAGTTAAAACAACACTTGGGCCTCTCAAAACCTTATTTTTTTGAGACAAAGGAGATCCAGCACCTTCTGTAAGCAGCTCTGGTTGTGTATGAATAAGACCTGAATACCCAGAATCCAAGGCACAAGCACCCTTGTCTTGTGACTCTTTATTACCTGTGTTAACTGCAGGGGAAATCAATCCTGGCTGTTGAAACTCCTCATTGCAATTAAGAGGAAAAGAGGATTCTGCTGGTAGCATCACTTGCTGATTATCTACACATGGTGAATTACAGCATTTGCTGTCTACATAACTCTGAGAAGCACTTTTTCCACTATGATACAAACAGCTTGATGTATTTATTTCCTCACAGTGTTGCTTTTCAAATTTAAGAACTTCAGCATCAGATTCATCACCTTCAAGATTCTGGACTTTGAGTAGTTTATTCTGTGATGTTTTTACTTCTCTCTCTTCCTCAACTTCACCCTCACTTTCCTCACAAGTACTCAGTGGAGAATATGAAATTTCCCAGTCACTGAAATCAGCTTTTGACTGTAGTAGGCTTGGCTGACTCGTATCTTTTTGACTACAAAGGTCTTCTCCCGGAACACTTTCTTGTGAAGGTGTAAAGTCATAAAATTCAAACTTACAGCTGTTATCTGTGGTTTGTGTGGGCTGAAATACTTGTTGAGGCTTTTGAACATCTGCAAAAGAGGAAGTGCTTTCACTGGTTATATTTAGAGATTTCCTTTGTGCCGAATCCTGTATCTTTGATGTACACTCATTATCTGGGACATTTTTTAAGTTCTTAGATGTTTTCTCAGTCTGCGAGACTTCTACATGACTTGGAAAACAGCTGGACTTTGCAGCAGTAGAACATGTCATCTTCCTCTCCAAAGTGTTTGCTGTAGAGTTCACAAGATATTCTCCTGCTCTGCTTGCTGCAAGTAGAAAATGGCTATAGCGCTTGTAGTGGGATGGAATGGTAGATGTGCACAGTAAACCATCAGGACACTCTATGGAAAAGCAGTTCAACCATAAAGTAGCATTAATATCTTTGTAAATGTAGTTTGCATAATTATTACATCAAATAAAAATCTCATATGGCATACAATTTTAAAGCTTTTCTTATAAATGTAGTTATTGGAGGACAGAAGGCACAAGTACAAAGTAATGTCAGGCTGCCACATCTCCTGGCCCAAGCTGGTGCAAAATGAAAGGTTTTAGGTTTTCCACCCTGATATTAGCACAGCTCTGAGCCTGCATTAGTTTACCCTTCTAGCAAGATGAATATGTTACCCTGTTTCAGTACTGTACTTACTAATGTGCTACGTGGTTTCTAGTTTAGAATTGTCTCATGTACAAGCAAGGCTCAGATCAAAAGTGCCTTAAAAGGCTACAACGTGTTTCAAAACAAACCAAACCTAGGTTCTGAATCTACTTGAAATTCCATTTAAAATTGTCTGTTTGGTGACATTTTAAAAACTAGTCAGGTATCTGCTTATGTAAGTACTGTAAAAAGGACTCAGGGTTCAGATGCCAACAAAAGATCTGTCGCTGTTCCCTGAACACTTTTTGTTGACAGTTTGCTAACCTAACTTTTGAGAATTTTGACGGATGCAAATCAATAAGGAATTTTTTCCCCATTAATTATAGGAAGAAGAGATGGAAATGAAGTGTAGAACATCTGCCTTAAGGTAATACCACTATCAAAATCAGGATTAAAGGCTCAATTTTAATTGTTCTGAAGAAGAAACTTCAACAAAAGTAAAACAGATAAGAAGAAATTCTGAATCAAAAGCTGCAAATCCTTAAATTAAGGATATTTCCCATTATTTTACAATGGTAAATATGTACCCTTGATTTCTTCCTTAATACAATGGAAGTGGAACTTGTTAAATAATCATGAATCTTTGTTAATGCTCCACATTTTTTGAGATTTTCATATCAGATTTCCATGTTCTTCACAAAGAACTGAAAATTCGATACGAGAACATTTTAACTACATATGAAAACCAGAGCTTACAGCAGTTATCTGTTCAACATATTTTGCTGAAGACTTCTTTCTTACCCTATTCCTACCTTTTTCAACAGATCCTGGAGTATCCAAACATTCAGCAACATGCCAGCGAGGTGTCTGCACCAGCAGCAAGGAGAAGGGCATCTGACAGCTTGGGCAATATCCATCACAAACCAGCCTTGTGCTTGGTGAGCCCTGTTCTGTCAGGCTGCTCAGGCTTTCCTGAGTGTGCACACTGTTGTCATCTTTAGATGGATCCAGGTCCTCGCTCGACCTCAATCTCTGCCCGCTTTTCTGAGGAGTACTACTTTTATCCACAGATTTGTTTCCATTTCCCTTTCTTTTCAGCCTGCATTTGCCTTTGGTTACTGTCTGCATGGACACAGAGGTACTGTTTGAGTTACTCTGTGGCTTTCGCTTCCTAATTGATTTGTATTCCCAAATGTCCTCTTCCAATAAAGCATCTTCAGACATGGCAACATACAAAATATTGTCCTTGCACTTAAGCAGCAGTTCACAAATCTAACTTTCCTACCATTGATAAGTTTTGTCTTCCAGCATTGAACATGAGATGGAAGAAAAGTAACTGAGCCCCATTCTACAAAAGCATCACTGTGCCCCAAACCAAACGGCAGCCCCTGATGGGACAGGAGCATGGTGGATCCGATCCTAAAAATAATTTAACAAGCGTCTCTTTGAGTATCTGCAACAGCTGTTAAACAAGAGCAGAATCTGTCAGGTACAGAAGGAATGGCTGACAGAGCCATTTCCTTCAGCCCTCCCCTCCGACACCCAGCCCGGCCTGCGGTGCTGCTCTCCCCGCACTCCTGACCGCCCCCGAGAAGGATTTAAAAGAAAAAGTGACTTCAGCTCCGAGATCGCTGCCACGAGCCGCCACACAGCGAAGATCGAGGTGAGCGCAGCGCTCCGCTCCCGCCGCCGAGCAGCCGCCAAGCAGCCGCCGAGCAGCCGCCCCGCTTCAAGCGCGCGCCGCCGGCCGGCCCTCACAGCCCCGTCGGCGTCCGCAGTTTCGTCACCTCCTCTGTTATTACATCTCCTTCCGCTCCGAAAATTTAAAAAACAAAACAAAACACAACAAACCTCAATCTTTGGTTCCGATACATCCCAGTTGTGACGTATTTTACGCTTAAGAATAATTTAAAAAAAAAAAAAGCGTAATAAGCGGGGAAAAAAAAAAAAATAAGGCGGTGGTGCTGAATCTGCTGGATAGGAATCACCGCTCGGGGTTTAGCGCCCAGTTTCCCTCACGAATGTGCTTCTGCGAATTGCAAAAGCAGGGTCAAAAATGAGAAATGAACTTAAAAGCTCCTCCCTTTAGGAAAGACGAATCTCTGTGTGTTTGCGTTTAGCGTTTTTATTGCTTGTTTTGCTTTGTTTTGATTATAGCTCTTCTATCCCAGGCCGAATGTGCGGCGGCGAAGCGGCAGGCCAGTAAACAGCGGCGGGCTCGGCCTGGAGGCGCCATGGCGGCGGAGGGCCTGGCGGGGCTCCTGCCCGCACAGACGCAGCTGGAGTACGCGCTGCTCGACGCCGACACCGCTCAGGAGAAGGAGAACCTGGTCTACCAGTACCTGAAGAAGATGGACAGCCGAGAGCGGGACCTGACAGTGCCCGAGCTCGGCGGAGGTGGGTGGAGGGGCCCGGCTGCGCCGCGGAACCACCGCCCCGTCGGCTGGTGTAGAAAAAGGCATTTTTGCTGGGCAGCGGGCTCGTGAAGGCACGGGAGCGAAGGAGAAAAGAACCTCTTTACGAGTGTGCCTCTTGCTACCCTTTGTAAAAACCCCTTCTTTAAGGCCTCGTTCTTAAGCTTCCTATGCTTTGGTTTTTTTTTTTTGTTTGTTTTGTTTTTTGTTTTGTTTTGTTTTGTTTTGTTTTTTTTCCAAATAGGCTCTTTCGTTTTTTGCAGGAAGCTTTCTTCTGGTTCCTTTGGTTTTGCTGCAGCTCTTGCCCTTCCACTTCAGGCCTTTCTGAGCTCTCTCACCCCACGACCAATTTATGCTTGCCGATTTTCATGTTCCTGATAAAGTGTTTCGTGCTGGAGATGCCGTCCTGGTTCAGTGGTGCTCCTTTTTCCACTTCCCATATTCCTGTAACTTTTGTGCAAAGCATTCATCCTGCAATTCTTGCTCTTGTGGGTGCTTGTAGCCTCAGAGATGCTTGCTGGGGCTGTGAGAAATGAGGGATTGCAAGACAGAGACCCAAACAGATAAAATACAGGATTAACGTTATAACATAGGAGTGAATTCTGACTTCTAACCATTGTGAATACTTTCAGTGTCTGGATTTGGCCTCCTGAATTGAATTTTCACTGTCATTACCATTGTTTTGCTTTCTGTATTTTGTCAAAGCTTCTGTTCTTTTCTGGAGATGAGATCAAATAAGTAGCCAACTCTTTTTAATTCCAGTATGCTTTAAAGGAAGATGTTTTAATTCTAGTGAAAAGTGGAGCGATGCCATTAAAGCAATCTGGTCTTCTTTCAAGATGCAAAATGTAAAGCTTCACTCTTGTATTGCAGAAATACATGAACTGAAATTAATTGTCTCCCAGTCTGAATGTGCATACATTCATGTTGTATATATGAATATACATCAATATGTACTTTGTGTATAGAGGGAGGCCAAACTTCCTCATAGCAAAGCAGAAAACAAATCTGCTGACTCAGGTAGCAATAACTTCTGGAGCACTGAGCTCAGAGTTTGCTGAAACTGATGGGGTGAAGGTTCAGATTATTCTGAGTACATTTCTGCACTCCAAAAGATAGTCCTTTAAGAGTTGAGTTTGACTTCACAATGTATCACATCTGTTTTTTCCCCTTTTTTTCCCCCAAAAACTGTTGAGTGGCAAACGGTTATCTAGGACATTCAGATCTCAATGCCAGGATCAGAGTAATATCAGTCACCAATGAGAAAGCATTGCCTTCACATTTCAAATCAAGTAATAAGAATGAGTGTCCAAGTATACTTCCACCTCCATCTGAAAGGATTATAGTTCTGTCACCTGGGAAGTAGTATTTCATGTCTGTCATTTTAGGTTGTTTAAAATGAAGGCCAAAACTAAAAAGGGAAAAATATTGAAGTCATCTCTGAAAATGTCATTTACAAAAATGTTGTAAAATGAAGAGTTTGAGTTCTATTCCATTTGCATTTATGAGTTTTTAAAGTCGTTATTAACACCTATGATGTTGTTAGGTGTTGAATAATACAGGTTCTTTTAAAATATATGGAAATTGTTCTTCAGCTTGCATCTTCTGGCAATTAAAAGGTGCCTTTTAACTATATAAGTTGTACTTTCAATGTTACATTAAATTCATTTAGTAATTTTGAATATTTGTGTAATATGAGGGCGAGTTTGATAAACATAAGACTTCTGTTTTGCTTTTCTACTTGGTAGAAAGAGATGGGGTTGTTTGCCTTAAGGGAAATGCCCTAGAAATGTTGTGTTAGCATACCAGTTAGGTACAAGTGTCTTCCTTTCCCTGCCCTTCTTCTAAGTGGCTGTCTCTGTTCTCTGTGCAGATCTACAGTGGTTAAACACTGAAGGTCCCATTTCTCTTCACAAAGACCTACGTGGAAAAGTTGTGGTGTTGGATTTCTTCACTTACTGCTGCATCAATTGCTTGCACCTGCTGCCTGATCTCCATGAATTAGAGCACCAGTACTCTGATAAAGGTAAAAGAGCTTTGGCTTGCACAGAATAGAATTTCCTGGCAGCGTTGCAGGTGGAGTAGCTGAGTCACTTCAGTTACTAAACAGCTGGCAGCATTTCAGGGATGCCTAAAAAAGTCTCCTAATCTTTTAAGAATCCTGACAAAGGTTACTGGCTATGCTCTCATCACATTTTTAGGTGGGGTTAAATATGGGGTTTCTTTAACAGTACAGGCACAAAAGACACGATGTGTGTCTAAAGCCTGAATCTGATATCCTCATAGGACTGTTGGCAAAACGCATGGATGTAAGTTACAGGCACAAAGTTGCTGTATGCACACATGCCTTACAAATCAACTCTGAGCAGGACATGGTTTAGTCTATTTTTTTTTCCCTTTCCAACTGAAATAAAAAAAACTTGGTTTAGGTTTTCTTTTCTCCCCCTCATCATCTTATTTTCAGTTAGTAGCCATCTACCCTGAGAGAGGGGATTAAGCTCTTAAGGATTTAAAGTTCACATCTGAAATAAAGCCCATCTCTCTGACCGAATGAAAATTCAGGATAATTACTATTTAAGATTTAGTCTCTTGTCATTCTGATGACTTGTCAGAGAGAAGAGGTGTTCTTACACACAAACATATCAGCAACTAAATTAACTTGTGTGTTTTAGCAGACTAACTAATTAGATGAACAGCGTTACTTTCATTCAGTAAAATATTGTAAGGACTGACACAGTAAACATTACTTTAAGGTTTACATTTTTGATTCTACAGTAACATTCCTGATCTGATTGTTATTCTGTCTGTATTTATTTTTGTGCTTCCTGTTTTTGTTAGAAAAACAGATGGCAGCGTCATTGAAATTAGAAGTTCATTAAGTTAGTTCACATATATTGTAGGTTTAAGTAGTGTTTTACAAAAGATTGAAATAGAATAATTTACCTGCTTAGAAAAATTTGACTGTTTGCTTTGGAGAAGTTTGAGAACTGGTGTAATATTTTAGCTATGAGGAGCTACATTAAAATAACATCTTCATAGCTGTTTTTTTTTTGTGAAGGAGGCAGTTCTTAGTGGAAAGCAATGAAGAAGTTAGGAAGGGATTGTTCTGGATGTCAGGCATGCTGGGAAGGAAGGTCTGCTTCAGAAGATGGAATTTGTCATTGAATTGATAACATCCTTAAACAACACACATTTTAAAATATATTTTAATATATTTAAAATATATTATAAAATATATATATATAAATACAGCAGCCATCCCTGATTTAAAAAATAAACTAAGCTGTTAAATCTGTTGGGAACAAAAAGTTATTTTAACAACCTTGTACAAAGTACTTTGCTGACAGGTAACAAATGCTTTTTAGATTTGAGATGTACAGGAACTGCAGTTTGGAAAAAGATGCTTGGGATGGAAGTAAAAAGAATAAGCAGAAAGAAATGACAGCAAGTGTATAGGAGATAAAAGTTACCAGTCAGCAAGAGGTGAGAGGAAAGGCCAGCTTGAGACACTCAAGAAAAGTAAAGGCTGGAAGAATAAGACTGAAGTAGAAAGGATGATGGGCATACCAAAAATACTTTAAAACTACTAAGATAAGAACTTTTTTAGCATTCATCCTGATGCCAGAGTTTCATTCTATTTTAATCTGCTGCCTTCTTTAGCTAATGGAAGTCTGTTGTCCCTTCAGGATCTGAGGGACAGATTCACTTTCACTTGGGTTGGTTTCCCCATCTCTTACCTCATAATTACAAAACCTACAGCATTTACACACACATTTCATTGACATTTAACAGAAGAGTCCTGATCCAGCAGACAGTGTTATTCAGAGGGAAAAACAAATATTTTACTCTCACAGGTTATTTCACAGCGCATTTGGGTCTTTAATCTGGTGTTAGAATAGCTAAAGGAGTGTTCCTCCATATTTCTGCATAACTGAGAACAAACCTTAATGTTGATATAATTTCCAGCAGCATCTTTTTGTGCATAACTTTTCATGTTCTGATTTTTGTCCACATGGTTTAAACCCTGTCTTGCTGGAAGAATGTAGAAACTTCACTAATACAATCATCACATAAGACATCTAAACAAGAATCTGGAAGTTTCAGGATGATCCTAAGCCATTAAATGTATCTTTGCACACATGCACACTGTTCTATTGTCTGGAATGTGAGATTTGTCTCAAAGTA